ATGCTATCGAGCATTCGGGTCCGCCAGCTGATGAAGAATCGGCAGAAAAGCATGATATCTCTTTTGATACGAATGGCGATGAATCAAAGGACTCCGGGGATAAGGTCCAGGGTATTTCAAAAAACACGTCCATCTTCACTTGGCAAGACGTCAACTATACCATACCCTACAAAAGTGGCGAGAGACAGTTGTTGAAGGATGTACAGGGCTATGTCAAGCCTGGTCGGCTCACTGCGCTGATGGGTGCATCTGGTGCTGGGTAGGACAATCCCTCAACCCGGCTACATTTGATATTGACGTCTGATCAGAAAAACTACACTGCTCAATGCACTGGCTCAGCGCATCAATTTCGGTGTGGTAAGCGGCAATTTCTTAGTTGATGGAAAGTGAGGATTCCCTGCCCTACCAGTATTCAATTTCTAGTGTTTGTCTTACCATATTCAGACCTCTTCCAAGAAGCTTCCAAAGGGCAACTGGATTCGCCGAGCAGATGGACATACACGAGCCTACAGCCACTGTGCGAGAATCTCTTCGATTCTCTGCCCTTTTACGCCAACCGAAGGAAGTCCCATTGCAAGAAAAGTACGACTATTGCGAAAAGGTGATCGACCTGTTAGAAATGCGATCTATTGCCGGTGCAACCGTGGGATCTGCGGGCTCGGGTCTCAACCAGGAACAGCGAAAACGTCTCACTATTGCAGTGGAACTTGCAAGTAAGCCTGAATTGCTATTGTTCCTGGATGAGCCAACGTCTGGTCTTGATTCACTTGCTGCTTTCAACATTGTACGATTCCTTCGGCGACTAGCCGATGCTGGCCAAGCTGTCCTCTGTACAATCCATCAACCTTCCGCTGTCTTGTTCGAACGGTTCGACGAACTTCTACTGCTGAAGAGCGGCGGAATTGTTGTCTATAATGGTCCACTTGGAAATGACTCCAAGATGCTTATTGAGTATTTCGAACGGAATGGCGGCAAGAAGTGCTCGCCGTACGCAAATCCGGCAGAGGTGCGTATACCAATGCTCATTTGTCTGCTTATACTGATTTGTTTATAAGTATATGTTGGAAGTCATTGGAGCTGGAAATCCAGATTATAAAGGGCAAGACTGGGGCGAGGTGTGGGCCAACTCATCCGAATCCAAGCGACTTTCTGAGGAGATCGAGGGAATCATTTCTTCTCGTCGAGATGACCAGAGCGACGAAGCAACCAGAGATGACCGCGAATACGCAATGCCTCTTTACGTTCAAATATCGGCAGTCACTAAACGCGCCTTCGTGTCCTATTGGAGGATGCCGGACTATATTCTTGTGAGTATTTATATTTGGAACCGACCAATTCACGACCTAACATATTTGCACCAGGGCAAATTCATGCTCCACATCTTCACGGGTCTCTTCAACACTTTTACCTTCTGGCATCTGGGAAATAGTTACATTGACATGCAATCGAGGCTGTTCTCTGCCTTCATGACCTTGACCATTTCTCCCCCACTGATTCAACAACTCCAACCTCAATTTCTACATTTCCGGGGCCTATATGAATCTCGCGAATCTAACTCGAAGATCTACTCATGGGCCGCCTTTGTGGCAAGCACGATCCTCCCAGAGCTACCATATTCCATTGTTGCCGGATCAATATACTTCAACTGCTGGTAAGTGTGCTCTATCCCCCTGAAGACAATCCCCAGATCTTACTGATATGGGATAGGTACTGGGGCATCTGGTTCCCGCGCGACTCGTTCACCTCTGGCTATGTTTGGATGCTCCTCATGCTATTCGAGCTATTCTACGTCGGATTTGGACAATTCATTGCGGCTCTTTCACCAAATGAGCTCTTTGCAAGCTTGCTTGTACCTTGTTTCTTCACATTCATTGCTGCCTTCTGTGGTGTTGTCGTTCCGTACGCCGCCTTGCCACACTTCTGGCAGTCCTGGATGTATTGGCTTACCCCATTCCACTATCTACTGGAAGGGCTTGTTGGTGTCGTTACACATAATGTCCCCGTCCGCTGTGTTGCGCGTGAAGAAGCCCAGTTCAGTCCTCCATCTGGCATGACCTGCACGGAATATGCAGGTTCGTATGCCCAGAAGGCTGGTGGATCCGTACGAGACGCTGGGAATGGCATGTGCTCATTTTGTCAATATTCGACTGGAGATCAGTTTGTGAGTTCACCCCTTAATCCTTCTCACCTGGGAGGAACGTGAGCACAGCTAATCGGAGATTATATTCCTTAGGCGAAAAGCCTCAACATATTCTATTCGCACAAATGGAGGGCCTATGTAAGTACTATCCTCTTCACCTCGTGGACTCAAAACCTGACAGTCTCCAGGGTATCTTCTGGGGGTATGTCATCTTCAATTTTGCCGCGGTTTTTGCCTTCTCCTGGCTGTATTTGCATGGAGTTCGGAATACGAGAAGATGGCTTAGCGAGCGCAAGACGAGAAAGAGTGAAGTCAACAGTTCGTGATGGTGTGAGAGTGTTTCATGTATATAAATTTGGATATTTTGTGAATTGATAGTGAAGGTTATTCTCCAGCTTCGGACATAATTTACTCTACCATCACATATAACACTCTTCTTAGTCTCCGAAAGAATGAGCTCTCGTAGACTTCTTTTATTTACCCAAAGCTACAGGTGGACTATGGCAGTGACATCCATGCAGCTGCAAACTGTTGGCGGGGCAGCCGATCAGTTACATCGCAATGACTACTCAATATCTGCATAGGTAGCATCGAAAGAGTTACACACGAGAGCATCAAAAGTAGATAAATCTTCCATCGCTGGCCCCCAATTGCTCGCGCAACATCTCCGCGCCCGAAAGCTTGGCATTGCCTTCGGAATCTTCCACCTCTCCATGCGATTCACCAATTCTGGCCTCGGTACTTGAAACTTCAGCCATTTGGTTTCTATGCCATGACTGAATAGCTTTGAAAGCTCCACGTCTATCTCGAACACGTCCCAGCTCCTCCAACCCCCCTTCCGCCTCCTCAACCATGAAGGAAGAAGCCTCCAGGGACACGCCAGAAGGCTCGACTGCCGGCGACGACCAGTCGAACTCGAAAGCGAATCTCGCCTCCAAAGACCGCAAATGTCAGTACTGCCAGCAAGCCTTCACCTCCTCGTCCCTGGGTCGACACCTCGACCAATTCCTCTTCAAGAAGAAACCCGACGGTATCCACGATGTCGAAGAGATCCGCCGGATCCGCAGTGGGATCACCCGTCGCCAGGCCCGCACGTCTTCAGGGAAACATGAGGATAGTCCCGAAAGGGGTCAGAAGAAGACCCCGTCGGACTCGTACACAACAGCCGACACGGGGTCGAAGTCGCGGGAGGCTCCGGTGCGCATGATGTTTAACACGCCCACCTGGCATGCGACTGGTGTGATCAATGATCTCCCCAATCCAAGTCGTGTCCCGGATGGGCCTCGGCTTGCGCCGTCGCAATCTCGCGCTGGGTCGTTACAGCTGCCAGACTACGCGAGCAGAGGCGCTGGTTCCAGCAAACCAGATACGATGCGAGCGCTGGAGCTGGCGCTGCGCGAAGTTCTCGATAATATCAAAGCTGCGACGTACGTTAACCTATCTCATTTTGAAACCATTTAAGTTGACAGAAAATTAGCTCTCGCGTACGGCCTCGTCTGTCACCATTCGATTTCGAGATTCACGCTCAAACCTTCCCCTCCCTGTGCCTGCAATTACTCCCTCCTCCACCAAGCCTGTTTGCGCCGCAACCATTCTCCTCCTCGGATTCCTTCCCTCTACAGGCTCCCGGTGCTGAGCACCGCGATATTGTTCGTCAGGCGCTCCGCTCCAAGGTTGCACAATGGCAGACCGAACAACTCCTAGCAGCAGACTCCACCCAGACGAAACAACGCCATAGTGGCATGGACCAGAGCATGATATACCGCAACGCACAGCAACACGAGGAGATGAGTCTTCGACACTTGGAATTAGCCTACAACCATTGGCACTCCCTTACATACGAGACCCGTCGCGACACCTGGCAGCTCGAGATCATGCGCGCATTCGCTCGGGAGGCAGAGAAGCGTAAGTCTGGGGATGAGCAACTTGCCCGCGTGCAACAAGAAGCAAACCAGCTTCGTGCACAAGTCGAGCGTCTCGGATCATGCCAGTGGCCTCGGGAGTTTGCGCTATTTCCCCCAGACACACTTCCCCTACCACGGGAAGTAGCGCGGGAATTAGATGCCCAAGACAGCCAAATTAGTGCCGACTCAACCCGATGGGACTATGACAACGTACTTGCAAAATGGAAACGCGTCGTCATGCACGATAAAGGCATGGGTCGGATTGGCGTTGGCTATGGTAATCCCAGCCCACTGATGGATGCAGACCAAGGCCAGCCACAGCCTGGCCAAAGTCCTGACCTTCGCCCACCGCGTCCTGGTGAGGATTCATCCTCTCATCCAAACCGTTTGCGTCCCTTGCAAACCGCTGCCGCTCTAAGTCCAGACGTTGGCGCTGCCTCTACACCTGCCTCGTCAACCCACTACGCTTCACCCCACTCCTATGCAGATCCCCGTAGCCCACCTAGTGGGCTGCCACAGGCTAAACGTCCGCGACTTATGAACTGCTCCGAGGGTCCGCCGGGGTCGTCGATCGAATCTGGCCCTTCTCCTGCCCCAGGCTCTGCAATTGGTAAACCCTGGGGACCTTCCACACCCCATCTTTCAAACATTGCTGCGCCATCGGGGCAAAGGCCTCCTTCCACATCTATGAACTGAGCGCCATTTTGATATATTGTTTAGGTAAGGCTTGGCAAGAAGATCTGCGAGGAAATAGCCTCGGTTGGTCGTATTTTCTGAGGCAGCCAACTTTGTCCATTGCCAGCGCTGTTCTCATGATTCCTATTATTGATAAAGTACATATATAATACGAGCATCTTTACTTCAAGAATTTTCACATGTGGTTCAAATGGGGTTACAGATACGTTAGTAAATTGATATTCGGTCTTATGGAGTGATGTGCTATCACCGAAAAGCCTTCAGGCACTTCCTTTCGCGTCTCGAGCGATTTCCTCTCCCAGGTACTCAGCCAAAGTCAGCATCTTCTCCTCCTGTAATCTTCTCCCGACAAACTGCACCCCAACTGGAGCCCCATCATAGGTCTCGGCATCATCTATACAACAATCAGCGTGAACCAAACAAGCAAAACACGGAGTCAACTCACAATCCCATTTGATGTACTCTAAACCATCTGCCGAACCATCAGCCGGCCGCACATCGACTGTCTTATCAGCAAAGGTAACCGGAATCGCCAGACTAGTATAGTCCAGCACATTCACGAAGCCAGTATACCCGACACTCTCATACTGAGTGGGAATTACAGCCGCATGAGGTGCCAATGGACAAAAAAGACCATCGACAGGACGGCCCGTGCCTGTGAGATCAGCCGTACTGTTCCAGTAGTCCATGTACTGTTTCTGATATACGCGCTTGGCGACATTGTGCGCAGCCAACTCGGACACATTCATTTCCTTGCCGTCTTTGACAACGATTACCTGCGGAGCTTGCTCTTCGCCGGATAGACCGAAATGGTGCCTGAAATCTGCGCCACCGTCCATATTGAATGTTTTCGCCTGTTTTGTATTAGCATTTGGTCTGTTCATAAAAGAAGCACAGAGAGAGACCAGGAAATCGAAGCACATACACACAGCTCAATAGCAGTAGCATGAGAAGGAGGCTTCCACTCAACAACCCTATGACCAAGCCTCTGCAAAGTCTTCACCACAATATCGATACCACGCGCAATAGGCGGATGAACAGGACCAACACCATCCCACTTCATAACACCAAAAGCAAGCGACGATCCAGCCCCAGCGACAGCACTCTCAATCAAAGTCTTCGTCTCAAGAACAACATCGTCACGCCAAGGCATTTCCAACGCCAGCGGGTCATGCAACCAAGGGCTCTGCGAAAGAACAGCCTTAACCAACATCGTCAATGACCTAGCTGTTGTCGCCAAAGGCCCAATAACAGAAAGAATTGTCCCCTGCCCATCCATCGAATTCGCAGCACCTTGATACGGAATCCTACCAGATGACGGCCTCAGCCCATAAAGCGCATTAAACCCAGCAGGAATACGCACACTCCCGCCAATATCAGTCCCAAAGCCTGCAGGAGAGCCACGCAATGCAATAAGCGCCCCCTCACCACCGGAACTACCACCAGAAGAGAGAAGACGGTTCTTAGGGTTCCAGGTATAGCCAATGATGTTGTTGACAGTCTCGCCGGCCATTAGAGTAGCTGGGACGCTGGTCTTGCAGTAGAGGATTGCGCCTAGGTTGCGGAGTTCGCGGACAAGTTCGCTTTCTTCTGTGCAGCGGCGTGGGTCGTTGGCTCGGCCTTCGAAGGTATTTATCCAGCCTACGTAGCCCATTGTTGTTTCTACGCCTTTGATGTGGAATTGGTCTTTTAGACTTATTGGGAGGCCGTGTAGGGGGCCTTTGGGTGCTTTGTGCTTTGCGAAGTAGGCGTCTTGGTCTTTTGCGTCTTGGAGGGCTGCTTCGAAAAGAATTTCATGGAGGCAGCTTACCTATATGGTTATTGAGGTTAGTATGTTGTATTTTATTGGGTTTATAAGTATAAAGGGGGAGTATTCGTTGCAACGTACGAGTTGGTGAGCTAGGGCAGCTCGGTGACAGAAGGCCTCCGTGACTTCGACAGCGGACCAGTTCCCAGTGGTTGTTTGTGCTGCAATATCTACTGCATCTGTCTCTGTGATTTCGATCTCACGGTCTGTCAGATATTGTCGAATGTAACCTGTGACATCGCGGAGCTCGGTGGCTGGAGGGACAGGGTCCCGCAATTGCCATTTCTCAGGGATAGCATTGAGGATGGACTGCCGTTTGGCCTCGCCTCGAGTGCGCCACGCAGGATCTGTCATTTTGAATGGGACGCTAAACTTGTAGAGGATATTTATGTTTGGGGTGTATGTATGTGTAGAGCGACATTTTATATGGGGAGCTGCTTATCTGTGCGGGGCTGTTGGGGTCGGTTGGAGACAAAGGCTTATCACTCTACTTCGGAAGAATTGGGGTTATTTTCATTCTATTCACTCTATCTGGTCTAACTGATTCGTCTGATGGATTGGCACGAGCTATCTCTAAATACTAGGGCAGGGGAACTCCAAATGTGCGGTTACTTCCGCCAACAGGTACCGAGAGCGCGGGTGAGTCCTTTCCAAGAACCTCATACGAGAACATTTGTCATAGCGCGTGCCCGCCTAGAACTCACGATCTATAGTGGATAGGATCTGCATTTTCTGGTTTAGATATACTCTGCGCTGTCTTTGGAAGCATGGGTAGTTGGCGTCTGCTGGACGTTTAGGGTAATTCGCTTGCCGGACATCCAGCCCTCCCACATCTGGTAAGGACCAGGGGGCATCCCCGGAAGGTTCTCTCCAAGCGATGGCCAGTTGGATAACCACGCAGGGCAAGTTGAGGGTAGGATCTTCGGTACTCCGTGCCAAGCGAAGCGCGACGCACCATTCATGTAGACCGTATCTCCTGATCGAAGCCGCAAGATCTTGCAGCCATTACCGTCGTCATGACTAGCTAAGAACAGCCCATCGCAGCCAAAGCTCACACTGATCAGACCCGACTCGCCATCTTTGGTCACTTCTCGGTGAATGCTTTGGGTGTCTCTGGTCGAGTGGATGTCCACGATGGCTGCGTGGGGTGATGTTTCTGGAAAGGCTGCGCTCAGTAGTTTCGCAATATCCTGTGGAATTACCGGCGGACTCTTCCCTGAGACCATACTGGCGGTCCTGTCGTGTTCTCCCCCGAGAGCGATCCAACGTAGTCTTTTCTCCAAGAAGCTCTGGACGTCCAGTGGCTCGTGCAGTCGAGGATCCTTTGGCTGAAATGTGCGAGTGGGGTCATCTCCAAAGAACGACTTTGGCGCGTGGTTTTCTTCATCTTCAGGGTAGGTCACATCGTAATGTAGATGTACGTTGGTCTGATACTCGGGACTGGACAAGTCCCGATGGAATAGGCGGGACAGAAGTTCAGTCTGCACGGTAGTTGGAAACAGGGCAGGGATCATAAGTAGACCTGGTAAGTGGTCAGGCATAGTTCTTGGTCCTGTGCCTGTGGGAGTTAGTGATGTAAGGCAATTTAATGCTAACCGGAGATCGAATTATGGCTGTAGACAGGGATGTTCTCCGTCATTGGAGCATCCTCTTCTGCCGATGCATGACCTCCCCGAATAAAATCATCAAATGCCAATCGTAGTTCTTGGCTGGACAGGTGCTGCGCGATTGTTACTCCGTGTGGCAGCTGGTCGGGGTCGAGTTGCCGTAGATCGATAATGCCGGGATGGTTGTCAGCCTCATCAATTGCAGAGTATTCCTTGTAACAGTCCCTGATAGGCCCAGGAGGGAGATCTTGAGCACTCAGACCCTTGATTTGAGCCATGACGGGATGTGAAGCCGGACCGGGAGAGAAGGGCGAGTCAAGGTACGCGCTCACCGCCTGGCAGGCGCGGGGGGTTGTTTGTTTGTCTTTCTCTCCCCACCATACAATAGTTTCGTCAATTTCTTCACCACATTCATATTCGCTGATTTCCCTGGGGAATTTGGAGTTTGCGGTACTCGAGCTCCCACGCAGATCCACAGAGTAAGTAGTGGCAAGCCTCCCCTTCTCCTTGCTTCCTCAAATTCTCCCTGGCAACTTCTCTCCAATCCGCACCACGTCCCATTTCAATCCTCTTTCAGACATTCTCTAAGCTCGTTGGAAGCAGATAAGGATCGAATGACGGTCACCATGGATAACTATCAGAAGATTGAGAAAATTGGTGAAGGTATCTACCATGAACGCGACTGGTGTCAGCCACAGCCCAACTTACGCGTTGATACTGGCAGGAACCTACGGTGTGGTCTACAAGGCCCGCGAACTGAACCACCCCAACCGTATCGTTGCCCTTAAGAAAATTCGCCTCGAAGCTGAAGATGAGGGTGTGTCCAGTACCGCCATTCGCGAGATTTCGCTCCTGAAGGAAATGAAGGACCCCAACATTGTCCAGCTGCTGAACATTGTCCACGCCGACGGCCACAAGCTTTACCTCGTCTTAGAATTCCTCGATCTCGATCTTAAGAGATACATGGAGGCTCTTCCTGTCAGTGACGGTGGCCGGGGCAAACCCTTGCCTGATGGATTCAAGTCCGGCACCAGCCTCGGCCTGGGTGATGCAATGGTCAAGAAGTTCATGGCTCAGCTCGTTGAGGGCATTCGTTACTGTCACAGCCACCGCATTCTCCACAGAGATTTGAAGCCCCAGAACTTGTTGATTGACCGTGAGGGTAACCTCAAGTTGGCCGATTTCGGTCTGGCACGCGCATTCGGTGTTCCCCTCCGCACTTATACCCACGAGGTAAGGATGACTTTAGCATTGCTCAAATCCGATTACTGATTGGTCTTCTAGGTTGTCACATTGTGGTACCGTTCTCCAGAGATTTTGCTCGGTGGGCGCCAATACTCTACTGGTGTTGACATGTGGTCTGTGGGTGCTATTTTCGCAGAGATGTGCACTCGCAAGCCTCTCTTCCCCGGTGACTCGGAAATTGATGAGATTTTCAAAATCTTCCGGTAAGTGAGATATAGAATCGGCCTGGGTCCAATGCTAACAAGCATAGTATCCTCGGTACCCCCGGCGAAGACACCTGGCCCGGCGTCACCTCGTTCCCCGACTACAAAGCCACTTTCCCCAAGTGGAAGCGCCCCGATGTTGAGATCGTACCTGGACTGGAGGAAGCTGGCTGTCAGCTTCTAGATGCCCTGCTTGAGTTTGACCCGGCTCACCGACTGTCCGCTAAGCAGGCCTGCCAGCACCCATACTTCCGTAACGGCAGCTCATACTACTCTGGCCGTGGCCAGCAGAATGGTTTCCACTAGTATGATAACGATATCCCGTCTTCTGTGTAATGACAGGAACCCCGGGCTTTATTTCTTTTATGTGCGGCGTTCAATGGGGAGTGATATGGAGGGCGGGCTTACTGGATGTTACGAAAGTGCTTTAGTGAATACAGGCGTACATACCCCTTCTAGCCCTGTAAACAGGCTTTGAGTTAAACCGATGTGACGGTATCATCTGAATATCAGCCTCTGGGTCTTTCAGCCTCTCTTCCCGTAATGGCAATGCAAGGGCCCAAGAGCGCGACCTCGTGTCAGCGCTGCGCCCCGTATAATCTTGGAATGAGAATATATAGTTGCACCGGGACCTGACTATTTCCTCTAGTATCCAATAAGGACCTGGTGTCATGAAACGACACACTAGCTGCAGAAACAGTGCTTATCGTCCTATGGGGATGGGGGGCCAAGCTGAAGCAGAATTGGGGGCCAGAAATGCCCTCGTCAGATTCATTCGCTTACCAGACGCACCTGCAGCCTTATGAACGCCCCCAAGGTCTATGGGGGTCCAAGCCAGCGAATCAGTCTGTGAGATTCACAGCTGAGGCCATGGCGGCTCGGGGTGGCCGTGCAAGAGGGGGTTCTTTCTGTTCTATTAAGAGCAACACGCCCTACATTTCCCTCCCTCTCTATTCACTTCCAGCAACTCTGATGGTCATTGAAGTGACGGCGACCAGTGCGATATAAGAAACAGCTGCCCAGGCCAGATCCACCACCGAGCTTCCCAGGAGCAAAGGACATAAGGGAACGAAGCTCCCCAAAAGACCTCAAGACCCCCAGTTATCCAAATCCAAATCCAGATCAAAACCTCCAAATATATCTTCCTCAATCAAAACCATGGAGTTCGACGACGAAGTAATCCAAATGGGCTACGGCGCCCCTCCACCCCCGACCTCGTCGCGCTCAAACAGCCGCCCACCACCACGCGCACGCTACCAACCACCCCAAGAATCCGTAAAGCAATTCTGGGAACAATTCAACACCAAATATCCAGGCAAAGTATATACAGTCCTGCCCGACAACCCGTACGCACGCACGCGCGCAAAGCATGTTCCCAGCGGCCGGATCCAAGGCCATGAAGCTGTCAAATCATATGAGCAGGCTCGGCGCGAGTGTCTGAAATCCGTCAGTCGGATTGTGAAGGAGTGTGAGCGGGTTAATCAGAAGTATACGGATCCACACTTTGATATTGAGCTTGACTTGAAGTCTGGAAGGAGGCATTATCTTGATGGGTTGGATAAGCCTAATGAGGAGATGAGGCCAAGGGGTGTTAAGAGGGTTACTGTAAGTTGGTTTTCTTTTCTGTTTTTCTCGTCTTCTAGAGATTTGAATTGGGATGGGATGCTGATTCGTGGCGGAATAGGAAATCTTTGAGAAGCCTCAGTTTTTTGTTAATGGGCCTACGGCTTCGGATGTTCGTCAGGGATGTGACGGTGATTGTTGGCTTATGGCCGCGTTATGTACTATGGGTAACAAGGAGGAGCTTATCGAAAAGATTTGTGTGGCCCGCAATGAGATTGTTGGCATTTACGGGTTTGTTTTCTACCGAGGTATGGCACATCCATTCTAACCTGCGATTGTGTTTCCTAACTTGATGGCTAGATGGCGAGTGGCAGCAGTGCATCGTGGATGACAAGCTCTATTTGCGTGCGGCGGACTATGATGAGTCCGTGGATGAACGACCCATCTGGGATGATATCAACCGCCACGACACGGAAGAGGAGTATCGACGAGTCTGGCAGACTGGTTCGCGGGCTCTCTACTTTGCGCAGTGCGTGGATGAAAATGAGACTTGGTTGCCGCTTCTTGAGAAGGCTTTTGCCAAGGCCCATGGTGATTATTCTGCGATTGAGGGTGGCTTTGTTGGTGAAGCCATCGAAGATCTCACAGGGGGCGTCACTTCCGAGGTTTTGTCTAGCAACATTCTCGACAAGGACCGATTCTGGACCGAGGAGCTCATGAAGGTTAACAATGAGTTCCTCTTTGGTTGTGGCACTGGTATGTTTTCCAACTGGTTGGATCCTAAGTATCGGGGTCCTCCAAGGGATCGCAAGGGCATTTCGGAGAATCACTCATATTCAATCATGGAAGCTCGGGAGATTGATGGACATCGGTTGCTTAGACTCAGGTATGTCAACTGCAAATGAATACCAAGGACCGACAAGCTCATCATTTTAGGAATCCCTGGGGCCGCAAGGAATGGCACGGTGCTTGGGGCGATGGATCCAAAGAATGGACACCCGAGTGGATGAAGCTTCTTGGCCACAAGTTCGGAAATGACGGGGTGAGTGTTGCAGTATCTGGGATCTGTTTCTATACGCTAACATAGAGCAGTTCTTTTGGATCTCTTACCGAGACCTCCTCAAAAAGTACCAGCACTTTGACCGGACTCGTCTTTTTGGACCTGAATGGATTATCACACAGCAATGGACCACATTAAATGTCCCCTGGTCTGCAGATTATCACAGCACCAAATTTATGATGGACGTAACCAAGAGTGGCCCGGTTGTCATTGTTTTATCACAAGTAAGTTTTCGCCGTGCTCTAGCAAGACTATATTTGTTAACAATTATAGCTGGATACACGTTACTTCAAGGGTCTCGCTGGCGAGTACAGCTTCGTGCTCAAGTTCCGTCTACAGAAAGAGGGCGAAGAAGACTACCTCGTGCGCAGCCACAGTAGCCACTTCATGGCCCGATCCGTCAACGCCGAGATCAACCTCGACCCAGGTCGCTATCACGTTCTGATGAAACTCACAGCCTTCCGACACGACGACGAGCCGACAGAAGAGATAGTCCGCCGTGTCGCCTCAACCCGACGCGAGAAACTCGTGCAAGTCGGCCTTTCATACGACCTCGCCCATGCCAAGGGACTGGTAGGCCAGACTGACCAAGAAAAGCGAGAACTGGATCAATTCGCCACAGCCAAACGCAAGAAGCTACACGAAGAAATCAAGAAAAAGATGCAAAAGGACTGGATCCGCAACCAGAAAATGGCCGCTCGACAAGACCGACAAGAGCGCATGGCCGCCATGCGTGCCACTCGCACCCCCAACGGCAGCTCTTTCGACCGTAGTTCTGAGCGCAGCCCAATCCAAACCCAGATCCTCTCCGACGTTCCAGTTAATCAGTCCCCCACAGACGTCGCAAGTATGTGCTGCGATAGCAGCGACCGGCGCGCCCCCTATACGAACGGCTCTGTGCCAACAATCCACGTCAACGGCAGCAAAGGCCTGCATGAAAGACACGCCAGTAGAAATGGCATGAGAAGAACTGAATCCCCGCGTCCAAGTCTGGGTAGTCGTATTTCCGCAGACGCGCTCGACCCCAGTGATTTGGAGCTACTGGAAGGGTTTGAGTTCGACAGTGATCTCGACGTACCTTCCGAAGATGCGGATTCGAAGTGCCACCGGCCGATAATGGACCAGGATGGGCCTGCTGTTGATCCGTGGAATGCTGTTTGTGTGGTTGGCCTGCGTGTTTACTCTATGGATCATATGCTCAGCTTGCAGGTTGTGCATCCTGTTCCTGAGGATGATACTGAGGCTCCTTTGGATCGGGATGACCCTGCTGCGTCGGCGACTACTTTCCAAAGGGATTCGTATTCCTGGAAGGATTCTTGGAGTAGTCAGCTTCCATTCTGATGTATTTGTTGAACCTGTTGGTAGGTTGTAAGATAAAGAGTTTCCGGGCCGTGGTTTTCGCATGTGTTAATTATTTTCGATTTAATATGGACTTTGATTGCCATCTACTTAGCAGGCTGCTTTGGTACCGTAAAGAGCAAAGGGTATATTGATACCTATGTCTAGTTTCTCCCCATTCCTGTTTCTATCTGTAGCTTCCACTCAAGCTTAGCTTCTGTTAGACTTACCCAACCTATTGTATAGCCCATTACCTTACAGCTCCCAAGTCTGTCAACGATACTCTAGTGGATCGTCTTATCCCATACATGTAGATCACCGACTGGGCTTACGGTCCACGCGCGAGACCTTTGCTAACGAGACCTAAATAGCTACAACGTCAAAAGATATATCCAAGCAGCAAGACCTTAAATGATGGAGGATTCATGGCTATTTTCTAGAACATGAAACTTGGATATTGTCTTGGACATCTCTCTAATTAAGTATTATGTGATCTTTTTGTGCAGAGATAATCCATACTTCAAGAATGACACTGTATAACTTACATATTGTGATCCTCGTAACTTGGGAAAAAGTTGAGGCCTGACTCCTCAGGCGACCATCGCCCAAAGCCAACATGCAAAGCTAACTCTCCGCCATACCCTAACCAGTCTTCACAAAATCCCTAACTACATACTTCGATGGTATTATGCGAGCCATAATCTGTTCATCTCGGGGAGTCACCCTCTTCGTACGAACCAGAAGAGCCGGTCGCATTTCCATCGCGTGTCTCCGAGGCGCGCGGTATTCCAGCGTTTCATCGGATTGCGTCGATGAGACACTCTTGCTTCCCATCGGAAACAATGGATCAATTGATTTGAAGTATGAAAAGTTCGCCTATGTTCGAAATAGTGATCAATGCTAACCTTACCCCTAGAATTACGCGACCAAGCACATTACGCTCTAATGAGGCATCACCCGTCAGTCCAAATGTGATTCTCTATCTTCCACCTGGACCTTTGTTCCAGGATCACCATACGGAAGCATCTAAGATAGATGGAGATTCAACATTCAATGTTGATCATGCAAAAACCGGGGATATCCAAGCCCCAAACCATGCACCCTCCCCACAACATGTTCTAGCAAACACTGCATCAGCAGTGGTAGTAACAGTCAACTACCGTCTCGGAGAGACCAAACAACAAATATCTCCCCCTTTATCAACCTCAAATCCACAAGGGCAAAATGAAACCTCAGACCAAACCCTGGACGCAACAAACACAAACCCCCAACCAGAAACATACAAATACCCAACCCCAGTCCACGACACCCTAGCCGGCTTCGACTGGATCCAAACCAACCTACAACCCTCAAAACTAGCAATATACGGCACCCACATCGGCGGATCCCTAGCGCTCATGCTAGCTCTCACAGAAGCGCAATCAATCCACGCAGTAGCAGCCACAAACCCAGTCTGCGACTGGCCCAGCCTAGACGAATATTGCACAAGGGAAAACATCATCACCAACACAGACCTCGACTCAGAAAACAATGGCACACCACCATCAACAGTTGCCCAAAAACAAAAGCGCCACTCAAGGAAAAGAATCGCACCAAAAGATCTTGTCGCTCTCCTACGTGCCCGCGAACGATTCTTCACATCCCCAGAACGCTGCTTCGACTCGTTCGCCTCACCGATCCTCTTCCTCCGCTCTGCAGGGCGCGAAGTACCGCGTACATTCCCGAGTTATCTCACCGGACCGGAGTATCCGGTTCCCGTCCTGCGGAATACGCGGAATATGACAGCTGCTGAGCAATATGATGCTGCTGACGGGTCACTTTGGGATCGGGATGTTTATCCCAATTTCGATTCTGAGGATGGGGATGGGATTGATAATCTTGCTGGTACGGTGACGCGTCGGCGGAAGGCTCTTTCGCGGTGGCCGCCTTATGGGCTTGATTATGGGCTTAGTGGGAAGAATTGGTCTGGGCCTAGTGATGGGATTCGGAGGTTGGAGGTTTGTTTACCTTTTGTTAGGGTCTTTGCGGGGGATGGGGTTGGGGAGGGGCTGGATTCTTTGTCTGAGGGTGAGGGTGAGGGTTCTTTGGCTCGGAAGGGTGGGAAGGGGAAGGATGGGAGTGTCGGGACTACGGTTCTTGCGCGGCAGGCTGAGGAGATGGTTTCTGTGATGCGGAGGGCTTGCTTTTGGGGGAGGGAAAAGGGGTTTGGGGAGCGGAGGGTTGTATTGTCTAGGATTCTGGGTGATGTTGATCAATCAGTGGAGATCGGGGTTTGGTTTAAGGATGTGTTTGAGGGGACGATGGATGATGTTGATTAACTAGGGATGATAGACGTGATATAGAGGGTTTCTCTAATCTGGTTATGGGCCGTCAAGAAAGAATTGTAGCCCAATCGTGCAATTATATCTTCATAATTCAACAATATCGTTCCAAAATATATTGACTTAAAAAAGAACATGTTCAGAAGATAAAGAATGAAAACAAGAAAGAGAAACACATCAACGAATCTCCATACTCCAACCCCAGTCTATTCTATTCTATCTATAAACGTCAACAACAACTCGACCAATCATAAAGGGGGCCCTCCCATAGCAGAGGCATCATTATGGGGCTGCCACCACCCATCAATATCCCCAAGATCAGCCAGCATATTAGGATCTTCAGGGAACGGCGGGGAAGACATTTGAGCCATGTCATTAGAGGGAGCATGGGTATTTTCATTCGCGCTGGCGCCGTGAGTTTCGGAGAAAAGGCGTAAATCAGAGTCTCGGATCCAGCCCAGGTCACCAAGCTGGGAGGCGGAGAAGGGTGCTTGGTATGATTGTTGTTGATGAGGTGGAAGAGGTTGTTGAGGGAGATGGTGTTGCTGGCTGGGTGGCATAGCAGAAGCCGATTGCATATGAGGCTGGGGCTCAGAGACAGAGAGACGTGATTTTTTGCGCGAGCTATCTACCCTCTGGGCATTGGCAGAAGGACCATATTGTTTCGTTGGAGGATGTGAAGACATCGATTGCAGGTTAGCACTGCTGATCTGACGCTTTGTCGCAGAGCCTGAGCGACGCATATGTGCTTGCCAGCGTCGCTGGAGAGTGACAAGGTAATCGCGGGTGCGCTTGGCGTTCTCGAAGGATTGGCCCAGTTCATCGAGAGCGCGGAAGCAAAGATTGAGGTACGCGACCATCTCGGCGCTGCGGGGGTGTGTTGGACTGTTGCCGGATTTGCCGGGACTCATGGGGGAACTGGAGACTGTTACAAAGAGAAGCATCAGGGCTGCACTGAAGATTATCGCCACGACTTGGTTGTTCATGCGGCGGAATGTGTAGTGCTTTTCGTATAGATGGAGGAGGCGTGCGACAGCTGTGGCAGATTCGACGCACATCCGGCGCGCGTGGTGATAGCCTGGACCTTGTCGGGGAGCCTGGGGTTGGATATAACTCTTCGAAAGCCAGGGACGGTGGAAGAAGATGATGATTTGGTGGTATTGCATGCTGATGAATTGTTAGTATATTATTACTGTATAGAGAGAATATCTGAACCTACTGAAGCATCATCAAATGAGGTAGCTTTGGTGAGATATCATCGTCCAAGTCAATCTCTAGGCTAGAGGGAAGATTCTCTTTCCAAGCGAACAAGTCTTCGGTCACTTGGTAGCATAATCTTTGCAAGTCATGCCGAGAAATATCAGAACATCCATACCTAGAGTCATGTTAGCGGTGTCTGTGAAAAAGGGAAAAGAACCTCATACAAGATATGGCCCACTGGAGAAATCATCTCCCACAAGACGACAAATTGCCTGCAAATCAATTCCGTAGGATTCTTTATCCCACTCTGAAGCATTCCTTGAGCGGCTTGATGTCCATATGGATGCCATGTACCTTCCTTTTCTGGCCCGAGGGAAGAAGCTGGTTTCGGAACACTGATATCTCCAGCATTCATGCGGAATGGACGTCCTAAGTAGAAGCCCCAGAAACTGTGGTTGTTAGAAGGTTCCCCCGAGGAGATAAAAGGATACTTACTGGTCAGCAACATAGCTTCCCCAGAATGCTGCACGGCGTACATCCGCCTCGGCTTGAGTGATATCGCCCCTATTGACGTATGTCGACATATCCAAATGGAGACCAAGATCGAAAGCAAGGCGCATAGACATCCCTGGGAATTGATAAGTATTGTTGCTTGGATTGCCCCTTGGAAAAGGAAGTGCTTACCGCTATACAGCCAACCACGAGCATCACGGTTTGAGGCTCCTTCGTGACAGCTCATGATAACCAAAGCCTGAACAGTCGCTACACAAGGAGAATCAAGTTCAATTTCCAGCAGAGCCTTGGCACGGTCTGCAAAGAACTCAGAAAGAGACTTGGGGAACGTGATGAAGGTGGGGTGGTAACGTGCTTCGAAGGCACTCCCAATTGCACACCTGTAGAAAGTCAATATAATGCTCCCAATTCCATGTGGTAAACTTACATCGCATTAGTCAAAACCTCAGAGTAAAAAGGTGTATCATCAAACTCATTTCGCCATTTAGATCGTGCAGTCATAAACATCTCCTTATCAACAACATAAGTACTCGGATTCTGCCATGTGAAATAGAGCTCCACAAGATGATCCTCAAGAGCCTGATCGACAGGCTGTCCGACCCTCAGATGATTCAAAATATCCTGGCCATCATGTCGGACAGTACGCGCATCTGGTCGCTGCCGCTGCTGAGTCGCAGAAACATCCACCAGGTTGAGGTTAGAGGTAGCACCATAGAATCGGAGGTGACCGTCTCCGGCAATTTTGAGAGTCCCAATACGATGGGATAACTGCTCGATAACGTCGTTCTCTGCTTCGTCCTCCTCTCCGCTGTCTGAATCATGCTCCGCATTGGACGGTAACTGGCCTAGTTGGGCACCAGCTTGCGGGACCATGTCTATGCCTAGCTGTAGACTATCCGGGCTGAGTCCGTTGTTGATGGGCATTCCAGGGGCATGTACACCGGTTCCACCGGGCCCTCCATTGAGATTGGCGTAAAGGTTGTCCAGGCTTTCTGCGGTTGGCAATGTAAATCCCCAATGGACGAAGTTCTGATTGTCGGAAGCACCACGCACCATCCCAAAGGGGTTCCAACCTTCGGGTGACGGGAATTGTCCACTTGAAGACGTATCCTGCGCTGGCGATACACCGGGAGCAACCAAATCGGTCGTCGGGTTAGGTACGCCGGGACTTGCAGCGGGCGGACTCTGGGAAGGAGATTGACCTGGGCCCACAGGTGGATTTGTTTCCATCGGCGGCTGTTTCTCGACAACAGGAGCTGCAACCGCCGACGTTTGAGGGAACCCGCGCGGAATCTGGAGGGTATCCAGCACCCTATTCATACCTGCTTCATCATCCGGTTTCATGGGCGGCGGTACTAGCCCCTGATCCTGAATAAAGTGACAAAGCTGATCAATCCGAGCAGAGAACAGCTCCGTTGCAGCTCGTAAGGACACCCTGGAATATCGATTAGCCGCTGAACAGTTGGATACTTCACATTTGCCGCAGTGCATCTTGGAAGTAACTGCGAAGAGCGATTGAGGTGCACACTTACTTGCGCTTGTCGTCCCCATGTTGGTATTTGCATTCCTTTCCTTTGCGCTGACAATTCTGGCAGTGGGGAGTTGCTCCGTCACACTGGTCGCAATGCGCGCGTTAGATTTTGTCCCCGCATAATGAGGCGCGTTACATTGCGCGGGCACGTACCCTGATCTTGCTCTCTCGGCATGGCACACAGGCCGTTGTGACATGCTTGCGCGGTGCCTTTTTTGTTCTTTCTGGGTCTGGCGACATGGTTTCGAGACCACGACCCTGTCGTGGAAAGTTGGGGTAAGATGCGGAGGTGGAGGTGGCGGTGCGGGAGATGAGATCGCGATGGCTTCCACGGAAGGAAATAGCACTGATTACGTTAACTCATAGTTGGAAATCATTGTCTATGAAGAAAGATGGTCGTCGCTGAGAAACTGAGAAACCCCAGAAAATTGGGGGCGGGGGAGGGTCCACAGCGGCGGCCTATGAAATGGTGGGGGATAAGCAGGTCAAGTGACCCTCAAAAGTCTTTTTATAGTCCAATATGTTACTCTGTACTTGTACTTCCAATTATCTACCAGTTGGATGTGCGCTTGATCTTCTCGTTCTGCACAACCTCAATCCAATATCCATCGGGATCCAAGACAAATGCAATGTTGTGCATCCGCCCGTCGGTCAGGCGCTTCTTGAAGTTCACGTTGAGCGTCTCGAACCGGTCGCACGCAGCCTGGAGGTCATCCACCGAGATACCTCGTCGGGGTTAGCAAATAGCCAGATAGTGCATGCTGTGTGTCACTTACAGATGTGACCGAAACCCTGGGGCTCGGTGTTGCCGTTGTGGTAGACAGGACCCTCCTGCTTCTCAGTGCCGTAGTTCCAAGTCAACTCAAGCAGACCCTCCCAATCGGCAACTCCGTTCTTCGTACCCTCCTTGATCTCCGGGTTGGAGGCAGGGTATCCCAGGAAGTAGAGGTTGAACTTGTTCTCCGGGTTCTCAATGGTGCGGACGAGGGTCATGCCCATGGACTCCTGGTAGAACTTGATACTAGCCTCGGCATCCTTGACGCGCAGCATGGTGTGGTTCAGACGGTAGCTGCCGGGGTCAGTAGTGGTACCCATATCCTCGTCGGCGCGACGGATGATCTCAACCCAGTAACCATCGGGATCCTTGGCGAAGGCAATGTGGCGCATACGGCCCTCTGTCAATTTCTTCTGGAAGGGGTAGCCGGCATCCTCGATGCGCTTGCAAGCAGCTTCAATGTTGTCGACTGAGATGGCGATGTGGCCGAAGCCGCGGTGCGGCTCTGTGTTGCCGTTCACCACGCTGTAGTTGGGGTCGTTTTCGGTACCATAGTTGTGGGTGAGCTCCAGCACGGCGTTGCGGTCGGTCCAGTGGCGGTCACCTTGGAGGGAGGCTGGGCCGTTGTAGGCCAGGAAGTAGTTGCAGAACTTCCATTCCGGCATGTCGATCTTGTTCACTAGGCTGAGGCCGAGGAACTTGTAGAACTCCACTGATCGCTGCGGGTCCTTGACCCGCATCATCGTGTCTATACATCTATTGTGTTATTTTGTGAGAAGCCTGTGCGAGCTGGTGGTGGGACGAACGGTTAAGCTTATAGGTGGAGGTATTGGTAGCCATAGTTGCTAGAGATCGTGCGTCTGCAGACTCGTTAGTGATTGGCCAGTCTGAATTCAAATGTACATACTTAGTGGTTTGAGGACCCCGAGAGAAAGACGTGAAAACATTGGCAAGTCTTAAGCTGGAGGGGAAGAGCTTTTGTCAGCCGTGAGGGGAGTGTGGGGCACATGACGCTATGTCTTCATTTCAATAACTTCACCTTCTCTACTTGCCAGGATCTTTAGAAGATTTCACCTAGGTATGTACTAAGTCTGTCTAGGTAGTAATCACATCTTATGTTGGTGTACCTGTCATCTACGGGGCTTATGGCATTCCGGGGAGTACCGGCAGTCAGTCAATTGGGTCCCTTGACTTCTTACATTCAGTAAGTAAAATACCTATAACTATATACCTTTCCGTCTCTTCAGCCTTCCCATTTGAAGCTTTTATAAAGCTCCGAGTGAAGGATCTGTATATTTCAACACCGTCACGTGATACGACGATATCGATGCCTCAGAGATAAGGCCACAGAACTGCAGCCAATCAGGATATTCTGATTCTACAGCAAGTCTGTAGCATGTATATTCACACTTCTTTGTACAATAACATTTGCCCTTAAAGGGCATACTGATGGCCCTAGACACCGGGGAAGATATTCCTCTAAGAAATAAAAAGACGCCAAAGCACGGATTCGATCCCTGAGATGACTCAATTCAAACCCAAATAGATTTCCTCTTTGGGAACAACGTGAGGTATAATGGTAGTTAAGGAGAAGAACCTCAGCCGACATCCCCCATGGCCGAGCCAGCTCATCAGTCTTGACTTGTACGCACCCTAATGCCGTCACTACTGTATGCCACCTGTGGGCCGAAAGTAACGGTTTCTCACCACACGGAAATTGTATGGGGGTGGACTTCCCTGCGCATACGATTTCTGGGGGGGATGGCTCCGGGCGTGCCCGGCTATTTTTTGCATTTTGTATTCTCGTTTAGTTCTCTATGCTCTACAGAGTCTATACGGGTAGTCTTTCTCTTTATACTGGCAGTCACCGCCCACAGATCAAGTTAGTCTTGACCGCCCGTATGGATCTAGATTGCCCAGGCAAAATACTGCTGATTGTTAGCATGTCTCACTCCATTCATTGGCAATATGCTGGACGTCACTTTGATACTATCAGCCGGCTTGGCTCTCTTGCTGGGATATGTGATAGTTAACCGGCAAGACAAACATCAGCCTCTCGAACCACCCCTGATCTCTAGTCCAATTCCAGTGATCGGTCATCTCGCCGCGTTTATTTACTATGGACTCCAGTACTTTCCTTCGCAGAGGTAGTGTCCATGTTCACAGGTGACTCCATACATCAAATTGACCGATATAGTGCAAAAACCCCCTTGCCCGCCTTCAGCCTGGACATGCTCTTCAACAAGGTGTATGTCATCAAGTCTCCAGAGCTGGTCTCAGCCGTAAGGCGCAATCACCGCTCTATGTCCTTTGAGCCCGTATTCACCCGTACGGCAGAGTGTGCCGGGGGCATCAAAGGCCCTGGCCTCCAACTTCTCCGTGGAAAAGAATCCCAGGGCCAAGGACTTGGGCATCACACAGTTACCAATATGCGTCCCACCCTGCTAGGCGAAGGATTAGACGAGATGAACACGAAGATGATCGAGTGTGTTCAACAGAGTGTGCAGGAGTTGAGATCCCATTGTCGCACGGTTGATCTCTATGACTGGTGTACTCTTGCAATGACCATTGCCAGTACAGATGCGATTTATGGACCGCAAAATCCCTACAAACAGCGGAAGACCCGCGATTCCTACTGGTAAATTGCAGGGTCCCTTGGAAGCGCTGCTCGTACCATCAGAACTGATCAGTCGTATAGGGAAATTGAAAATAACCTAAGCTATCTCATGATGGGTTTCGCCCCCTGGCTGATTGCACGGAAAGCATGGAAGGGTCGCGAACATCTCTCGAATGCCTTCCTCGAGTACTACAAAGCCGACGGACATCTCAAATCGTCACAGCTGGCATACACACGTTGGAAAACACAGCTCGATGGCGGAGCCACTTTGGAAGACATTGCCCGACTGGAAGCAGTCATGGGCCTTGGGATCCTCTCCAACACAGTCCCCACCAGCTACTGGGCAATTTTCGACCTGTTCTCACGCCCAAAACTACTAGAAGAAGCCCGGGACGAGATCCGACAGAACGCGATATCTGTCGACTCGGAGGGACTCCATACAGTTGATCTAGCAAGCGTCCAAGAGAAATGCCCACTACTACTTGCGTGTCTGCAAGAAACCCTCCGAATTCGCTCCAACTCGGCCCAGCTGCGTGTGATATTCGAAGATACCATGCTTAGCGAATCATGTCTAGTCAAAGCGGGTTCGATCCTAGTAATGCCATCTGCAGTCATCAACCGCAGTGAATCGGCATGGGGACAGGATGCGGAAACCTTCGACCCACAAAGATTTATCGATCCAGAAGGTAGGAGAACGAAAGCTTCCGGTTTTATGTCGTTTGGTACATCTCCTCATATCTGTGCTGGTCGGCATTTTGCTACTGGGGAAATTATTGCTTTGATGACGATGTTAATTCTGCAGTTTGATATCTGTCCTGTTGGGGGGGATTGGGTTGAACCGCCGGTCAATATCAATGCGGTTGCTGCGTCATTGAGTCCTCCTATGGGTCAGACCTCTGTCACTGTTAGTGAGAGGGAGGAGTTTAAAGGGGTGAAATGGGATTATCGGCTGACTCCTGGAAAGGGCAGGCATGGTTTGATCATTGGGTAGTCCATTTGTATATAGTGTCTAGGTTATCAATGGATTATTGTCTCGAAGATGGCGTTGTAGGAGTGAGGCTAAAAATTGAAATTTCATACTGATCAATTAGCAGTTAGTATAGATAATCACATGATAGTAGTACCGAGGGTAATGTACGGGATTTGAATCTGTGTTTCAATACTGCTAGAATGTATAGATACCTAAACAGTCCATCCCTGGAAGCTGGACGTCACTAGCGGCCCGACTCCGCAGATCGTCTTCTACCGTCATCTTCACTCCTCTCTTCCTCACCTCATTCTCTATTCATTACCAATTCTCACCAGGTTCGTCGAATGATTTCTCTTTTCGCATCTTGCATACTCCCCACAGTTCTCCCCCGCTCCCGGTTGATCCCCCTATGCGATTGGTCTCATTGGTCTCCCCGACTTCGTGTCGCATGCCCTCCGAGGCCCTTGACCTCTTTTCTTTTTCCACTTTCTTATACTGCCGCGCTTAGCCCTCAGGAGAACACGTCCGTTCCCCCCTCTGCCTCCCAATCAAATGTCAGTCCACATACACGTTCTGCCCGCGACTGCGGAGCCTCCAGGCTACCACATCGCATGACACTCGGTCCTACGCATGCGCTCATAAAGCTCCGTCTTCCTGTCCTCTGTGCCACCGGACACGATTGGAATTATCGTGACTTCCCATCCGGACCAGAGCCCCCATTGAGCCAACTGTTCCGACCTTCATGCTCCCCCTCCCCAGCCCAGTGCCCGCTATGAGAACATTCCCTTCTATCCTGTTGCTTCCCGATTGAATCCATCTTTGTTTGGGAAGAGCATATAAAGCACCGCCGCATCGCGATCCCCTTGCGCAGTCAATATCCATGGGTGTGAAGATGGCTGAATGCGAACCTCCAGTCCCAGGCTCCTTCTCGATATCCGATTGCTCGACTCTAGTCAGCACGAAAGACCCATTCGAGCCGCCGTTCCTCCCATATTGGGCCCGATACGAGTCGCAGTGCGCACAGAATCTATTAGATTACTCTGACGAGCCCATCGAGTACGACCACGACGACGAGGACTACCGCGACAACTGCTTCTTTTTTCCAGAAGACTGTTCGTACACACCACCCAAGGACTGGGTTGAGACGCATTACATTTCAGTAGAGGATACACCCGAGATCCAGGTGGAGGAATACACAACGGCAGACCAGGACACGAACCGTGACACCACCACCGACATCGACACCGACACCAACATCATGATCCCCGGACTACCAGATATCAAGATGATCGACTCGGAGGCATTGAGCGACCTCCTGGAAGATAACCTCTCCCCACCAGAGATCACAACAATCATGTACGGCCCTCGCCCCTCACCCCTCACACCCCCAGCCCCAAGAAACAGAAACAACAGCTAACACAACCCTCCCAGCGTCTTTGCAACAAACGGCGCAGTCTTCGCCTACGGCTCAACCCTCTCCTCCCGCCAACTCCGAAACCTAAGCGCAACCTACGGCGCCGCCTACACATGCTACGCCAAAACCGCCTCAACTGGCAACCTGACAGGCGTGAACCCAGCCAGCCACCCATCCTCCTACGTAACGGCAAAGTCAATGTCCCTAGGCGACGTAGGCTCAATCGTCTTCGAACTCGACGATTCCGTAGCGGTGGTAACGCGCATCGCCGACAAAGTCCTCATTGCAGCCGTAGGCCCATCCAAATCCAACCCCGGCGAAGAGAACGACACACCAGCCGCAGCCAACACAGACAACACCCCGACAGCCGAAAATGGCACTCAACCCCCCGATCTGGCTAATGGGTTTGGAAGTGGTACTATCTCACCGGAAGGATCACAGGACGGTCAACGGACTCCAACTGCACCGGCACCGACCTCACCAAATCCACCGACGCAAAACGGCCATCTAGATGCTCAACATGAAATCAATCGTAGTATTGATCTGGAGCGGTTGTCTAGTTTGAATTTATCCGCTTCGCCCGCTGTCTTGTTAGCGCTTGAATCGAAGTGTGCTGCGCTGGCGAGGTTCCTCGGGCAGAAGCTGGATGATTTGGAGAGCCCGGAGGATTTCTGAGTTGTGTCTTGTGCAGGTGATATCAGTTGATTACTTGTGAACTGTCTTTGGGTGGATTGTGTGTTTGTTTCCATGAGATATGATATAATTGGATGTTATTATCTGCTCTGTTCTGTTCTGCTCTCTGGATTTGACGGTTGGTCTGAACTATGTGAATCGGTTTAGCGTTTGACGTTTTGTTGCATATCCATTTGAATCTTACCATTTTCCTCTGTGTTTTTGATTTCTGGCAGATAACAAGTAGTTCAAGACATGTTCGTAGCTTAATCTCACCGAGCGTAGGTTTCGAGTAATCAAAAGACCGATATATAGTCTCAGCAATAATCACCCGAGCTAACCATTCTGCTAATGTCTATGGAGAAGTAATCTATAAACACCCCTCATATTGAATGAAAACAAAGAAAATTCATTAAGCATGGTATATCAGGACGAACAATCAGTCCCCGTCAGCGCTGTAGACTCACCAAAGTCTCGAAACTCGAAAAGAACAGAAAAAGAATGCGAGTGCATGTTATATGTATGAACAATGCAGTGCAGTTCAAGAAACCAAAAAGGATTAAAGCATAAAGTCCTAGCTGGAGAAACGTTCATCTCTCAGCAGTAAAATAATATGGGAATTATGACTTTTCAGTTTTCTCCTGCACAGCCGTACCACCAGGGGAACCGTGGAAGTGACTAGCAGTACTAGTGGTACGATTAATACCAGGGGTAGGAGCCGCCGAAGAAGCAGCATAGTCCTTAGCATCGACAGGCGAAGCAGACGCCGAAGCCGTGGTAGGGGAAGCAGCAGTAGGCGAGGTAGAAGTCACACCGGAAGTCTGACCAGTCTGCGCTTCCTGCTGCTTCTCCTTCTCAGCGTAAGTCGGGGGTTGGCTCTGGGCGGAGACGCTGCGCGAGGGACTAACCGAGCCACCCGGGGAAGCGGCCGTAGGCGAAGTTGCAGCTGCGGCTGCTGCCGGGGCCGGGCCGCGGGTTGCATCCTTGATAGTGGACCACCATTTCTCGGCGTCATTGGGGGTATGAGCCTTGAAGTTGAGTTCGGTGTTTGTGTGGAAGGCGTTACCGATTTTGCCGCTTGACACGTCCTTACCCTTGACGTTGAACTTGACGCCGTCGATAGCGCCGACGATGCAGTCGGGCAGGTAGAGGGACAGTTCAGGGGTGGGGTCGCGGCGGAAGTCGTCGTTGTCCTTGAACTCGTGAAGGTAGCGGGCTGGGGTGACGACGTAGTAGCCGGTGCTGTAGCCCTTGATGACAGCGCGGGAGCGGCGCTCGAGCGAGCCCTCGATTAGGGGCTGAGTGGAGCGGTGGTCCATGTTTGGGAAGGTGATGCTTGAGAAGGAGCGTGGCGGGGAGTCTGGGTTGACGAGGGTTGCGTCGTTGCGCACACAGAAGTTGATCCATTCGAAGTCTGGGGGGATGCGCTGAGCTGTGCCGAGGATGTCGGCGTACATGGCGCGCTGGCGTTCGAGTTGGCCGCCCATGTATTGGTGGAATTGTTCCAGGGTTCCTTGGACGGTTTGGAGGACGTGGGATTCGAATTGTTGGAATGAGTTTTGCACGGCGAGGATGTCCTGGCGATGGTTGTTTTCCTCTTTAACTTGGTTGTTGAGGCGGTGGTTGATACCGCGCTTGAGGAGGTAGGGATCGTGCTGTTGCTCGATCTTGTTGGAGGCTGCTGCGTCGAAGGAGGCCGAGTTCTGGCCTAGGAGCTCGATGTGCTTCTGGGTTAGACCGCGGGCTTTCTCGACTGCCTTGGCGCCCTTTGAGGCGCCGGAGCTGAGCTCCTTGGACTTGTTCTTGATCTCTTTGTGGAGACGCTCGAGGGTGGGGAGGATGCCTTTCTTGATGTTGTTTTCGCCGTCCAGGTGCATGTTCACCATGCCCTGGGTATTGTTGCGAAGGTTCTCGAACAGGCCAGTCACACCGCCGGCGCTGGAGCTGAAGTGGTGACCTTCCTTGAGGGGTTCGTTTACGGTCTGTTGCCATTGTCTGTCAGCCACGGTCCTCCCGGCCCATTGACGAAACACTGACCTTAAGGATCTTCTCATAGTCCTTGGACTGAGACTTCTGCACCTTGGCGGTAGCAGCGAAGTAATCCTCGAGATATCCGCACATGTGCTTCCAGGCGCGGAGACGTTCAAGCAGGAGAGTGGTAGTCTGGCACCGCACTGTCAGTCCACGCTACTCCATTGTAAGAGGATAGAACGAACCTCACTGCTATCGGTGTTGGGAATAGCCTCATCATCACTCATCGAAGTACGACGAGTGAAGGCGCTGCTCACGGTGCCAGACCGCTGCGGCAGCTTAACGTCTGTGGGGCTCGTCGGAGTGGACATGGCAGCAGAGTATCGAGTACCAAGGATCGGGGTAAATGGGCGTCAGACCGATCGACTAACGAAATCGAGATATTCAAAATAAAGTCGCTATCTTATCCCAACACCGGGGTTGGAGGGGAGATGGAGGTGTGGCTCAGGAAATAATTATTAGCATCGGGTGGCTGTGGGAGACCCAAGACCGGAAGCAGCGCTAGTGGACTAGTTGTGTGTTAGCTATGAGCAGTGGGATCCATAAATGGAGACACCAACTGGTACTGTAATTCCAACTGTACAAGTACACTGTACAACTGTACAAGAATGTGCAAAGTGGGATGTTGGAAAGAGTGAGTTTTTAAGTGATCGACCCAGAACGCCAATGAGGTCACCTGCCCCTCGTCCAGTTACTGCAACCTGCAACCTGCAATCCTGCAACCTTACATTTTGTGGCTTTGTCGCCCAACTGCAAGATCGATCGGAGATGATGTGCGAGGCTTTATAGAGCTATGGTCTATAGCTATGGCTCGTACTTCGTATCTGGCTCTGTAATCCCAGGGATGTGGTAACTATAGTAGATTTCAACTCTTAACTTGACCTAACTCAGCTTAACCTATTCTACCCCAACACAATCCCTACGACGCATCTGTAAAATATATCCAAATGCGGTAGCCATGTGCCAATGTAGTATCCCTTTGCTGCAAGCGAAACAATGCCATTGACGTGAGCGGAAGCACCCGACTCGAGATCGGCTTATATAACCTTGGAATGATCAACAGCTGATTGCCTAATTGGGAAATGATGTCATGGCATTGAAAGTTGAATTGGAGTCATAATCCGACAGTAATTAAGTACACGCATAACTCATGCTGATGCGGCGTCATATTCAGATTCGTGAAAGCAAAGAAACATCCATCTATGAAAAGATCCCTGTCTATGACCGAACGCCAGAAAAGAAACAGGTAAACAGGAACGCCGAAGAAGAGAAATGCTGAGTCCCAGTTTTATCGCGAAAGGCTAGGGGTCATGCCAGACCAGTCCATGATCAATCGGGAGGGAGAGGGGAGAAGAGAAGGGTTTGGCCGTGTCCAGCACCGGGCCGGAGAGGGAACTTTTGTCGGAAAAGGGGGAGATCATGAATGGGCTGGGAAATCATCAGGGCCGCAAATCATGCTCTGGCGCGAGCCTGCACGAGTCTAAGTCTGCGATCCTCATCATCAGCATTGGTGCCGTGAGAGTTGAAGTATCCGGGGCGGTTCTGCACCTCTAAAGGAGTCGAAACCCCGCTTGCACGGCCACTTCGGATGTGAGCCTGCTGGGGAGACTGGGGGACTGAGAGTGTGGGCAAGCTGCTGGCTACCACAGCGTTGTAGTCCGGAAGGCCGGAGTCACGCGGGCGCACAGTGCAACGGACTGCAGTTGAGTAACTAGGAACCCGGCTGAGGGTTTCCACCTCGGCGTACTGAGGGTGGAAGGGAGTGGCCATGCCCGAGGGAAGGGTATCAGGCTCCACTTCGTCTGAGGGCCGGCGGGAAAGTTCAGGACTGCCATGGCTGTGTGAGTTGGAGCCGGAAGAAGGCCCAAAGTAGTCGTTGGGGACACCCAGTTGACGTTGAATGGTGTACTCTGTTGGGGACTGGGCCTCATGCGGGGTCTCGACTGGTGTTCGGCTGTGGAATGGGCTTGTGTTCAGGTTTGTTAGGCGGTGGTGTAGTGCCGAGGGCGAGATGTCGGTGTTGGTCAGAGCGTTCATCGAGGCAAGGTTCTCAGCAGACATATTGCGACTGAGAGGACCGCCTGGAGTACCGGGGCCACTACCAGGGCCGGGTGTGCGATAACCGTTGGGGTCGAGTTCGCTGTACAGCTGGTCGAAGGTGTGCTCACCGTAAAGGGGAGGGGCTTGATGTGCAAAGTCGTCCACGGCAATCCGCGTAGACTGAGGGGTCTGCCCTACAAGGTTATTGTTCTCATCGATGGCAATGTGGGGTGAAATGAAGATCGAGACTGGAAGTGTAGCGCGCAACTGCATTGAATGTTAGCCTAATCGACACGGTCGTGCCCATCACTACTCACTTCACTAATGTGCCCATCCGGGTTGTGCAGCTGAATGCGGAACTTCAACTTGTGACGAATCTTGATTCCCTTGGTGTCTGTGTCCTGCAAGCAGCGGGTCAAGGTCTGCGGCATGTCCAGAACACGCGAACACTGGTATCCCTCGGCGGCCTCATCGATGATTTCGATATTGTCCTCGTCCAGCTCATGCTCGTCGGTCAAGATCGTCCGGGTGATCTTGTATGTGTTTCGGACGGAATCGGGATCTTCGGGGTTAAGGGTAAGGTCGTGGCTTTCGATCAACTGTGACGTAATTTGACCGATGCGCAGGCCCTTGAGAAGCGGGATCAATTTGAAATCGACATGAATAGAAGTACCGAAGACAATGGCCTTCGTCGGAGTGCTGATGGAGTATTCGATCTTGTTCGGCCAGATATTGTCCACCGACTGCGGGGTGTCAGTAAAAAATCATCACCACCCGAGAAACCCACGTACCATTGCATGTGACAACTCTAGAGCGCTGGGATCGAGAGTCCGAATGATGCGAAGCGGTTTCCGGCACACAATATCTTTGGCATACTTGCGGCCAATCTCCGCCTTGAAGCGGTACATCACCCACGTCTCAGAGAGGCCCTCCACACTCTCGGGCATGGACCCCTCAAGCACCACGTCGAATGGATATTCATAGTTGCCCGCGGGTAGAACCTCAGTCTTTCCCTTACCCGGGTCACGGAATCTCCATGTCTTATCATAGAACACACGTTCGCGCCACGACTTGCGGCCTCCGGCGGTGGAGGTGGACGGGAGGTGCCAGCTGACTGAGTTAGCGATGATCCTGCCAAGATCAGACCTGCAGGCACATACCAAACTCGGGACATGCCCGTCAACTCCAGTCGCAAATGTTTGATTGTGAGCGGCTCGGACAAACACAGAATCAGAGTGCCCCGGAGATGTGCGCTGGCGGCTTCATGTTCACCACCGCGGAACACAATGTAGTCTTCGTTTAATCTGCACCCTGTCAGCCCGTTCATGCGCAACACGCAGAGTCCCCACTCACCTAATGTCGAAATACTTAGCGCTGCTGGCGCTTCCACCACTGCTGAAGAAGCTGAGAGCCATTTTGAGATGTGCCGCAGCAAACGGCAGATCACAGTGAGTGGTATAAATGCCAGGAGGGAAATGTAAAGATATGGAGGAAGGAGGTATGACACAAAAGGTATTTTCCGAATTTTCGCTATCGTTGATCTACCGGACCATGACCAGATTCGCAAACCCGGTCCGACTAACGGGTCCCACCTTGGTGGAGGTGCCGTTTCCGGCGAGTTTTGGAAGTGGCGATGGGGTGACTAAGCTAGCACCAGCGAAGAGATGAGAGATGAGATGAGAGAGAAAGTAAGACGGGACAAGGAAGAAGATTTAAAAGAAATCAAAACAATCCATAGATACGACAGTACGACAAGACGACAAGACGACAAGACGACGTAAAACGACGCTTTAGTCAGCGCTATCATATGCCTGCGGACACCGAAGTATACACTGGCTAGGGTTATTTGATTATTTTCTTGAACCCTTTTTATCAGTCCATACTGTACGGACTTCCTGCTCTGTTTTGCCATACTTTGTAACGTTCTTCCCAAGGGGCCATCATTTACCCATCACGCCATACCTCGGGATCATCCTGACGATCATGCGCAACACACGTACTCTCCATGCACAGCCCTGTGATTCTCCTGACACATACACCTGAGCTAAGTGACAGTCAGACGTACAAAAGCACATATGTATAGGCTCGATCCCATCAATGGCGCCACCAATGTCAGAAGGCGTCTCGGGCTTGCCCACCCAGCCTACCGCCAGGTAGCCCGTCACTGCAAGTATGCACTGACCCTCCACCACTCTTAAACAAAAACGATGATCTCTGCAGACACCGTGCCTGAAAATCCCTGGAAAAACACGCTGATCCATGAGATCTATCTAATGTACACTACTGTATCCAGGCTCACCCTTGGCAACCTCTTGCGCGGTAAAATTGCCTCATCGGAAATTTCCGTGACCTAACCGACTCTAATAGCTGCGGTTAGAGCGGGCCAGCCTGGTTCCACCCAGCTGTCATTCTATGGTGAAATTCCAGGTCGGAATGAATCATAATCACAGATAAGCTGTCTCGGGACCACTAACTGGCTACGGGTCAGCTAGCCTGATGTGGCGCTTCTATCTGCGAACATGTTTCGTGATAGACCGCTTATAGGCTGACTGGGAGGTCTGGATGCACGATTCGATTCCGGTTTCGATGTCCATGCCCATACCCATGTCCATACTACTGCTTCTGCTACAAAAATTTGAACCCTTCGGCTGTATTGTACGTGTACGGGCCTGTTCGGGATCCCTCAGACTCGGGTATTTCCGCGCCCGATCGGAATCCCGACCGGCTTGTTGCCCGAGTGTCTCCCGAGTGTCTGTGCTGCTCCGGTGTGATATTTTGGATGTTTGGGCGAGAACTGGTTTTTCCTTGGTTTTGGACGCGCACTTGTCTGGGATTAGGCTTGGGTTTGTCTAGAACAGGTTCTAGACTAGATTTGAATATTATATCTACTGTACCATGCCTCTGATGATGCTTATTCTAAGTGCTGATGGTCTAGAGCTTCGTAAAGATCTATATATACAGTCCAGTACTACACACCTAGGCAGCGTTGTACAAGAACCCTGAAAGTCTAGAACTCAGCACATTGAACTTGAACTCACCATTATATCACAAAAACCTGTCGACAGGAGATTTTCAAGGTCCTTATTTTCTCGGGCTGACCCACTCCGGATCGACGGTGAATTTTTGCAGAGATTGACTCCACTGTGAACATCATTGCAGCTCTATCTAGCATCCGGTGTGTCTTTGTCAGTTGAGGTTTGCGTTGCATCATCTGGCTCCAAAGTGATGTGTGGAAACAGACTACACGTATATCTACAATAGACATTGGCTTCAAAGAGATTGGAATGATGACTATTTAGGGGTTGAGTATCATTGGATAGGAGCTATCGTGATTACGCGTAACTCTCTTTGTTTGCATGTACAGTAACTTAACTTATAACTTAAGTTGGTAGCGTGAAACATGTATATGCAAAGCACTGCACATGCATAATGATCATGTGACAGTGACGTACCAATCGAGCCATGTACTGCTCTCTATACTGACAAAGTACTGCACAGCAGACGACAGTATCTCCTTCAATAAATGTCAGTGGACCCCCTTATCATTTTTATCATTTTTATTATATTCTCCGATAACAGTGGAACAATCTCGCCAATTGCCAGTCCAAGATACAGCACGGGCTACCCTAAAACAAAGACTCGGATTCGTGGAAAACCCCGAGTCAAAGCGTATGTTCGATATTTCCTTTTATCGCCGGTAGTTCTCGTTCCGAATATAGGAGCTTTCTGATTTCTTCCGGTGATCGCCAGGGGCTAGGTTGCAATGCTAAGAGCGGGAGCTAAGAGATCGTGTGGATCGACGCCAAGATGAGGGAAAAGAATTTTCGCGCTGTGTGTTTCGGGTGATCTTATAGTCGGGTTTAGTGTTTTGATTGTTCGGATATTCCGATGTTTGCATTTGTTGTACGGAGTATAGAGTGGTAACCATAAGTGTCAATCTTCAATTCTCATGTTCAAGATAGCTTTATTTACATTTGCCATTGCAACCCATTTCTGTACAGTTATTGCCAAACATGTACTCCTGAAAATGCCTAAACTTCCAGGCAGGTCAACGTTTGCAATATTTTTGACCTGCCAAAAGACATACGCCCATGCTCCTCCCGATGCACTCATGCCTCCAAAGCATGGGTATGATTATCATATTCCCAGTGCGCATGAATCTCCATGGCCCCTTTAGAGCATGCAATACTAGCCGCTGATCAGCCATGATTCCACCGAGGACACGCCGATAGAGATCACAGCTAACAACATAGCCTTGCCATGACACCTTTGTGCTGTCTGGGATGGTAGAGCCTGGCTGTATGTGTCCCAAGCCAGATATCGAGTCCCAGAACAACAGTATCACCACATCCGACGATTGTGACATCAGGGCAGACTGGAATGCGGGGTGAACGATGGAAATCGCTCTCAACGCGAGCTCATGAGCTGTCCGGCGGGATCTTCAAAAGCACATTCCCAACCCGGGATCACGACACAGATATCATTAGAGATCAAAGCACTGGAATTGGATCCGAACCCAATTTCAATATGATACGACATGTCTTTCCAGCAGGGTACGATATATTGATACCAGTTCGAGACCAATTCACTCAAGCCACAAACCGATGTCCCACAACCCCAACTTGAGGCGTTGGCGAAGCCATACCAACATCAACAGGCGTGGACTTGCCAACCCTCCCGTCCGGAATTGGGGATTCAGCGTATCGAGGAACATCTCCAGGCATATATTGCGGCACAGGAGGTAAATCTCCGTAGAAGATAGCTTTAGCTGCAGTTTTGCGCCATCGCTGTTCATTCTCGTGGAGTTCGATGACTAGGAACCATATTCCTAGGGCTAGAGCCATGCTCGCTATTAGGGTTTGGTAGACTCTTGGCTTAGCTATTGTTGGTACTTTTTTGCAGTGCGGGTCGGGGCAGCGGGTGAATCTGCTTGTGCGGAACATCGTTTGTGGGTTTGGGCGTCTGTTGGTATTGGTATTAGGGGTTGTTGTTGTTGTTCGTTCATCTGTTGTTGGGAGATATGAGGAGGGAGAGTGAGGGATGGTAGTTTGCATTTGATTCATTTGGCTATTTGTCTGCTAATGATGTTGTTTATGATTTCTGCATCCAGGAATTTGAATGTATGGAGCTTTTTGACGAGATCGGTTTGGTTGAGGCTGGGTTTACATTCCTGAGCATTTTAGCCGAAAACGGTGGTTTTGAATGGCAGACGGAAATGTGACACGACATTTACCTATAGTGTAGGACGATAAAGGACGATAAACAAATTTTATATTTCCAAGTATTAGTTGGGACAAGTTGGAGTCCATGAGAGGTGATGCGTGGGCGTAGACAGGTTGGAGACTTGGCTACTTGACTCCCGTTTCGGGTTGGTATTCTTGGTCCCACTTATAAGCAAACGCACACCTTCCATTACTTGTTTACTCATGTTCGTTAAAGTAGGATGTGCCGGAATAAGATGACTCATTGGTGATGCCATTCATTGGTGATGCACATCAATAGTTGAATCAACCAGGTAGCACACCATCACATGTGATTATGAACACTTGATACCATCCACTCTTTCCTCTAGAATTATAGTGTCTGAACAAAACCGGGGTCTGATAGTAGAGAAGCCTTGGGCCAAGTATTATGTTCAGTGGTAATCACAGTATTAATGACACAAAATAAAGAAAGCAACGAGTATCTCGAATCGCAATGCAAGAGCCTTATGCTGTAAGCAGAAAATCAAACCCCGCTTGGGTTAGTTTGCGAAAGTCATGAAGACGTGAATCTTAAGAGTCGAGGGGTTATCGAGGAAGGCGGAGGGAGGTACGTAGGGGGTCGCATCGTTGAAGCTTCTGGGTTGCAGTTTCGACAAGCTCCATATGAGCTGATGCTCGAACACGGAGCGAAGAGTATGTGGAGAGCGAAAAGTGTTTGAGAACACGGAGACGCTCGATTCCCAGCATGTCATGTCGAATGAAGACTGGGCAAAGCCAAAGGTGCGCACCAACTGATGAAGGCACCGCAATATGGAGTATATCACGTAGTAAAAAAAAAGAGCCGACTCTTGTTTCAGCAAGAGTATCGAAGACCGTTCAATGTAAGAGCGAGAAGGTTTCGAGGCGGATTGAATGAACATCAAGAGAGATTTTAGAAAATCCATCCAAGTATGATATAGAGAACAACACCAGCCGCAATACACATTCCAGCGATCTTCAGTACAGCAACCGTATCGCCTTGCTTCGCCATGCGGGTAAGACGAGTAGCGCTGCCTTTCAGGTTCGTGGAGAATGAGGAGAATACGTCACTCTAAGCGGAGGCAGATTTGTTAGTTATATATCCAAATAGCCCCGCCACAGCCACTTTAACTGTAGTTCGCAAATCACCCACAAGCATCCTTGTAAGTTGTAGGGCGAGCAAGGCATCGAGCAAGACGTACCGTGTGGTCGAGTGTATCCTGATCCCGCGCATTGTCATGGATGTCAATCGTCACGGAGCGGAGGGCTGAGACTTTCGTGGAAAGAGAGTTGAGGAGCGCATTGTTCTGCCTAATCGGAGAGTCAGCAATACACTCGAATGAGCCGGTGAAAGCCCCAAAGGTCCAACCACAGGGGCGTATTCGATGGGGAAGGCGGAGGAAGGGACATACTGCTCGCGTTCGTAAGCGTCACTCATTCTGCTGAAGTTTCTTACGGTGTTTTCGAAGGTGGTAAAATGAATGCGAAAATCACAAAGTTTAAGGAAATAAGCAGGCGAGAAATTGGCTAGAGGTGGCCAAAAGCCTGGGGTTTCGGAGCCGACGTCAGGCTGGTCACGTGACTGTAGTTCTTACCTTAAATAATCCTTTGCCCTGAAGTATACAAAGTACACTCTTACACTCTTGGGAATGGTTTCTATTCGCATATATTGTATGGCTGTGTACTTGGGGTATATATGTTTTGTCTTGGGCCCAGTGAGATGGTATTGTGACAATATTGACTCTCCCAAGGACCACTCCTGCCTCCAAGAACTGGGATATCCACTTACAGCGAGTTTCGATGAGATATTTACCGTGCTGACTGGAGCTTTGAATTTTATTGATACGCTTTCTTGCTCAAGCTCTGCAAAAGCTTTTGAGAGGTCGTAGAAGGAATCATGGCATTGCCATTTTGGACTCTTTCATTATGCTTCCATGGGAATATTTCTGTCTATCGAGACCAATGACATCCTACGATCATCCGAGCCACTCGCTTGCCCATTTCCGCATCCATAGCCAATTTCAACCCTTTTGAATAATCTAGAATGACTTCATTTTGCCCTCAAGTGCGCTCTTGATGAGGTCAATCGCGCCAAAGATCACGTTCCATGCTACCCAAGTGAATTTCCAAGGCAATTTGCATCTGCTTCTTACTTCCAGATTTGTACATACAAGACTTAGCGTCCAGGTTCTCCCCAGGGTTGACAAACACTGTCAAAAGTGCGGGTTCGAATCGTTGACAGCCTATTACAATTTCCGAATCTGAGCCTTGATAATTCATTCTAAGACAGCGTTATGTTGTAGTTTATTTACAGCTTGGCCTGTTCTAATGGGCTCAGCCTTCTCAGAGGAGGACCTCCTCGGCTGCCATCCCCCGCCATAGGGCCTTTAGCGTCATCCTTGGGCAGGTTCAATTTCCACTTTTGCCGCAAGTTCTCAGGAGCCTTGCCCTCAAAGCAGTCAGCAATATATTGTCCCAAGATAGGGAGGAACTTGAAACCGCTGCTCAAGAGTTAGTATAAATAAGGGATACACAACGTGGAGATATAGAAAGCTTACTGTCCTGCACCACCTGTAGCCAAAAACAGACCCTGCATGGTGGGATGGTGATCGATGATAAAGTCACCCTTGGGAGTATCGGTATACCAGCAAAGCCGGCGGTTTAACCACGGGCGATCACCAAGCTTGGGGAAGAATTGACGTAGACCCTGGCGCAGGGACTCATCCGCGTCATCGGGTAGGTACCCAGTGGCAGCATTGCTGCTTTCAAACTTAGGCGACGAGAGCGATTTCTTTTCCCCATCGACATCAACATTCATCTCAGTAGCATAGCCGTATCCGTGACGCGCAAGCTTAAGGACATTAGTATCAGGGGTAGGCGGGAAAGAGAACACGCCGGAGCTCATGTTGATCATGACCGGGATTTTCTTGTACTCGAGAGCCTCTTCTTCAGTCAACTGGATGAAACCAACTGGCTGACCAGAGGACGATGCGGCGTGGCCGATGTTTAGCAGACGATTCGTCCATGCGCCAGTACTGAGGATGACCTGGGAAGCAAGCAGAACCTGTCCTCTGACAAGGTTAACACCGACTACCCGCGAGCCGGCCTTGCGCAAAGAGGTAACTGTACCCCTGGGACCAGCGATGATCGAAATACCGGCAACTGTACACTTAGATGCAAGTTTCTGGATGCTGCCTGCTGCATCTGCCCAGCCACCCTTGGGGTTATGATAACCGCTCATGCCAGCAACGTTGGCCTGAACACTGGGGTAGAGCTTGCGAATATCAGACGCATCGGGGAGTTCGTCCAAGTGGCCACCGGCGGCACGAATGACGGACTTTGAACCTTCCATATATTTGTTCTTGGGCGTTTCGGAGAACAGAGCGAATCCTGACTCGAAGTATTGATCTTTGTACTCGGTAGTCCAGCCTTTGTATGCCTCACGGGCCATTTTGTAGTAGATTGGGTCGGCATAGTCGGCCCGAATGATACGTGAGATGTCAACGCTGCTTCCATCTGCTGAGGGTGGTACAAATCGGTCGACCACGGTGATATCGGTGTATCCGCGCTTATTGAGTTCTAGGGCGGTTGAAAGACCGAAGACGCCAGCGCCCACGATCAGGATTGAGTCATTCTTAGCTGTAGACATGATGGGCGACAAGTCGGTCTACTGAGCAGTTGTCGTCGAATTTGTTGTAAATTGAACAGAGGATTCCGGTGGCTTTAAAATGTGACGGTATACGGTCTTTCCCGGCTCAATGCCGGGACTTGGCGTCCGGAAAGGGCGGGTCCGGGCCGTGTTCCCCGGGACTTATAGATCCCATCTCGCCCTCATGTTGGATTGACACTTAGCCAATCCTCAAATGCTCTGCCATAATCTTGGAGCTGAAGGTAGAGCCCGTCTCCGCTCGTGAAATCTACATCTGGATCCCCCGGAAGCCCTGAGAGGTCCATCGTGGGTGCGATCTGACTCGGTGCTTGCACCGGATCCTCAGTCTGTTCGGGCGGATACGTAACACATTCAGCTGCTACTGTCTTGTGGCCTGATATGCCCGCTGATCCAATCAAAGTGAAATCGCGCTCAGTGATATCACCGACAGAATGGTCGCCTGAGCTTCCAACGCTGTCCTTGGAAAGTTCTGGGCCAAAGATGTCGCTGCCGGAGTCTGAGGATTTGCTCGCATGGGCATAAACCAAGATTTTCCATAGCAGTTGTAAGTTGACGGACCACATCTGGCGCTGGTTCGATCCCCCAGGCGCACCATTGCCTGTCATGAGCCCCCCAGGAGACACACTGTCCCTGAGCTGCTGTAGTTGTTGGGCCTGACAGATGTTAGTTTTAGTACTCAAAAATACAATAACAACAGCTCACCTGGCGGTCAATGTGTGGCCAGCGGCGACTCATATTCCACAGGAACCTGAGACATTTTTCAAACCCTGTTTGCGCCTTTCGCTTAAATGTTTGATCCTCGACAAAGCTATGCTGGAGATAGATCGTAGCGACAATAACCACACAATGGCCAATTGTCGAATCAGAAACCTCAAATACTTTAGCGCTGATGAGCTCAACGAAATGAAGAACCCAACCAGAATGAAATGTCAACTGCTCGAACGAGTTGCGAAGGAATGACTGAGGCATTGTCCTTCGAAAATTCCGAAGACGCATAGAGAGAAGAAATGGATGGTTGATCAGACAAGGGACTGCATGCCAAACCATCTGGAAGAACAGCCACGGACCCCAATAGTCACGATGAGCCTGAAGCTCGGCTGAGGGATGATCTTGGAAGGGACTTGCATGGAGTCTGAATCTGAGTGGCATGAGGCTCTCGTGTTCGCAATGTTGGAAATGAATCATGGCGTAGTCAGAGTGCGGTGACCACGGGGGGTGGGCATCAACGCCAACAGGGCTGGCCGCATAGTTGCAGGCCAATGCCCATAGCTCGCTTGTATAGATGTTGGTGCCGACAATTCCGATATCTGGCTTGGAGCTGCTGGTCCGCCTTGCGTTCTCCATGTTGGATATCATGGACCCCAATGGGGAAGACAACTCATCACCCTCGCCCAGTGGATCTGGGCACTCTCTAGGATGAAGAGGTTGGAAAGAGCCCTGCAGATTCCGGAGCACGATAAGGCTGACGTAGCACAGTTTGCGCTCATCACGTTCGGTTTCCAGGTTACTCAGTGAGTCTAGGCCGTTGACTTTAAGATTTTGCATAAAGTATGCGGCCATCTTAGTAAAAAATCTGGCACGGATGATATGGCCAGCTGAAATGCAAGAACCGATGTCAGAGTCCGAGAATGAAGACACAAGGAGTCGACCTACCTGTAAATTCAAGCATGCTCAGAAGACACATAGTCTGAAGGGTTGAGAGTTCTACACTACCAGATGCCAATCGCATCATAACTATCTGGGAGGCCCGCCCTGTCATTCGTTTGATTTCAAACTGAGTTTGAGAATTAGTGATTCCACCATCATAAAACCGCATTCCAAGGGCTTCAATGGCGCAGATAAGTTCGGGGTCTCTTGGTCCAAGTGAGGCAACAGAAGATCGATAAGGAAACAGCAGAAGGGGCTGTGAATTGCAGTATGTCAGATATAGATCTGCTGCCGATAACTCCGGCGAGCGTGCCCTGCAACACCAGTAAGCAAATGAGGCTCTCTGGAGGCACAGGACGGACTGACATAGAAGGACTGTCTTGGGGCAGTAGCTCTGGGACTCGGTCTTGGTGACTCGCAGGTACAGACGAAGGGGTCTGATCTTGAGCAGGCCGCCTGCAACTTCAATCAGTCCAGTAACTAGATCAATTCTCAGATGAACCCACGTAATATAGTCCATCAATCTGTCCAATGTACTTTCAATGCCAGAAATGCGCTCGTCCTGCATTGCGGACTGCTTAGCTTGGGATCAAATGACTCTTTTCATCAACTTACCATTTTCTTAGAATGTTCAGGCTCTTCGCTCCGAGATTCATCAACGGCATATGTGCATTTCTGACCCAACCTCTCACAATACGAGCAGACGGGCTTTTCTCCGGGGCAGCGGGACTTTTTCCGGCTTGGGGAGTGTCAGCGCAGTGGATGTAGAGCGTATAATCAAGCTTACCGGCAAGGTGCGCAGGCCTGTCTGGCCCTTTTTGATGGCCTTTCATCTCCCGCCGAGGCCATTTTGTAGCCAATATGCCGTGTTTGAGTGAGAAAAAATAGATCGAGGCGGGAGTCGGACCGGGCGGATGTGGGTCGCCCAGGTGGTGCGGGAAGGATTAGTGACACTAGGTAGTGGCCGTTTCATACAAAAGACAATTGTTATGAGAGTATAAGAACTTTCTTCAAATTTTAATAGATAAATATTTTAATGCTACTTTTGAACATAATGTTTTCTGTTAGGGTCCTAGGCGCAATACCACAGCCCAATGTAGTTTAGGTAAACTGTCACTAAATACCGCAGGCAGACAATGAATATGAACTGCATGCAATGTGCTTCTCGATTCCTACCCCTTAGTATTAAAAAAAGAAAAGAAAAAATCTGATTGCTATAAGAAACGGAAGAAGTCTATTTTGCAAAGAGAAAGACATTCGCGCAAATTACAAAAAAAGTCACTAAAAAAAAAGACGTGGACTAAGTCCAAAATATAGATCCAACAAAAGAAGAATGCCACACTCCGTAACAATGACCCATACAAAAGAAAGCATCTAAACATTCGGACTGAGAGGAGTAAGCTCTCTTTGATCTTTAAGTGCAACCCTCGTATTGGTAGCCGTACTAACAGCAAAGCTACCATCCTTACACACAGGCCACTCATCCTCGCGCAACCAGTACTCCTCATGCGAAGGTTTGCCCTTAATCATACCACCCAAATCAAGCGGATCAGCGAAAGTCTCCCAAGTAGAACGACGATCAATCCAACCAGGCCCCATCCGCTCAGTGTGGCCATCAGGACTCAAATAGCGGTTCTTCTGACGAGGCAAGTTGCGACCGGGGTGAAACGCATTCATCCACCAGGTAAAGATAAGCATGGGACCCAGCTCGAAGGCATAGAGATACCATTCATGCCTGAGAATTGAACCGCAGTTCTCTCGGCAGCCGATTTTTTTGAACATCTCGAATGCTTCGACTGCGCGGAAGATACACCGTAGAAGAACGAGGGTTGAGGTACCATAGAGTGTAATACAGAGGATGCGGACGTTGGGTGAGAGCATGCTGGCTCGTGAGCAGCGGGCGTGAACTGTTGCAACGACGCTGATTACGCAGCATTCGACGACAACTTGGAGGACTAGACCGGCGGCGATGAGAGCTCCGCCAGTCTTGTACTCCTCTATGTCTCCATCTGCTGTTAAGTTTTTGGCTGCTCCGGCAGCGGTCATTGCTTCTACGGCAGCACCCAGGTAGACAAAAAATATCAGGACTCGGTTGGGGTTTAGGAGGGCGTGCATTGGGAGGTAGTTCATGAGTCGTCCCACGATGTTGTATGCTGCGGCGGAGTAGATTGGTGGACCGGCATAGATGAAGATGCTTGATGCGATATAAATGTTCAGGTTGTCAGGGTGGTAAGTAGAAATGCAGCGCAGAATCCATCCAGCTGTGAAGACTGCACCACCCCAGCAGAGGAAGAATGTGACCCGCCAGAATCGGTAGCGGCTGGAGAATGTTAGAAGTTGGGTATCGAAAGCTAATGTTTTCATGCAACCCACTAGTTCTGATAAATGTGCAGTAAGAAAGATGCGCCAACTAGGGCTGCAAATACAGCGGACAAGATATGGCTCGGGGTGTATATGTAGAGGCTTTCGGCCTTCGGATCTGTGCTGGCGACCATGATGGGTTGGAACAAGCTGGAGGATGAATAGTTGATTATCTAGTGGGCATTGGCGCCTTTAAATGTTGGATCCATCTGACATGCACTTTCAGCCCAGCCGATTTGTACAAACTACGAAGCGGTACATGAGTCCATATCGGGGTATATGCCCTCCGATGTGTGTGGCGTAGAGCGGTAGGGTACCTTGAGTCTGATGAGCCCCAACGCCTGAACAACTGGAGCAGCCAAGACTCCTCAAAATTCCCCAAGATGGAGAGTTGTGTATAGTTGGCCCCCAACCAATCAGCATCGCCAAACTAAGCCTTGTAGCGGCACATTCGACCCGAAGCGGTTAGACTGATGATGGCATGGTCAGCCCAACTTCGCCCTGTAATAAACTCAGCCCAGTCAACTGTTAGACACTTTGTCTTCGGAGATTTTAAATTTTAATATCCAGGCCCAGTCCATATCGTTTCCGTTTTGAGATCTACGCTCCGCTCCCTGGGTCTACCCCAATGCCCCACCATGCCAGGTGTACCAACAGGTCGGGCCTGTGATGCATGCCGCAAGCAGAAGAAAAAGGTGCGTGCGATAGACATGTGGTAGTTAATATGTCGCTAATGATATGATAAGTGCGACGAGAAACAACCTAGCTGTGGGAGATGTCTGCGTCTGAAAGTGACCTGCATAGGTTCCGGTCAGCAACGATACAAGTTCAAGCAAGAGCATCGTTTTTCACCCCCAGCACAAAAGAATAACGGAAGACAAATGATCATCACACTCGATAACAAGTCAAGATTAACCAAGAAAGAAACGCCTCCTTTTGAAATTCCTCCTACATTCCCCAACCATCATCTTACATCATTAACAAATTCATTCATCGGCGCCATCAAACGCTCAACAGACCTCCGATACAACCTGTGGTGGTCTTTCGGTCTATTTCTAGAAGAAGTACCTCGGCGAATCGGCAACAATGAAGCACTCGACCGCGCAGTCGATGCCGTGACCACTATCCATGCAGACTTCTGCATTCGCCGGTCCATCTCAGTCGGTGCTTTATCAAAGTACTCACATGCTCTCAGAACTTTGAGCGTATATTTAGACGATCCAATTCAAGCAATTGCTTCAAATACCCTCTGCGCCGTGATGATTCTCCTGGTCTGCCAAGCATTCATTGGAAACCAAGGACAATTATTATCAGGCCACGCAGGAGGTGCAGCCAACATCTTGCGCGCGAGAAAGAACTTCGGACCCCGTGACGAATTCGAACGCAAACTATTCCTCTCTCTACGAGGCAGTGTGGTAAGTAAACCAACTTTCCCATCTTCCCACAAAACCAATGCTAATAATACCAAGCTCTTCGAAGGCCTATACAACGAAAAAATAGACCTAAGCCCCACAGAATGGGAATCCCTTGTCCAAAACGACTACGACGCAAATCTCCCAGAAGGACGAATGATGCTCTGCCTAACAAAAGCCCCAACCCTAATAAAGCGCGGCAAACACGCAATACGCACTGGACAAGACCTAACCAAACTGAAAAGTGAAATCCAACCAATATATGAACAGTGCAAAGAAATCCTAGCCGAGCTAAAAACCCGGAAAACATCCTTCGAAGCCTCAACCCCGGAAACGTCTTCTCCGACATTCATGGCCCAGGTCCTGAAAGCGCATTACCTGCGCACGTACGGACTGGGTCTTACGATAGTGATGTTTTTCAATTGTATAATGCAGGCGTTGAACTTGGATGATTCTACTTTTGCGGCGGAATCGACTTCTTTTGTCGAGGAGACGCTTGAACATGCAGCGCAGTCAAATGTTTATAGACCTGTTGGGGCGGGGTATGTTATATTGTGCTTGTATGCGGCTTGGGCTGCGACTCCGGATCCGCAGTTGAGGTTGAGTGTTGAGTTGGCTTTGCTTGATTATCACGATGATTTTAAGCATAATCCTGTCACTGATTTGCCTTATCATTTGGATTGCGTGTCTGAACATATTTGGCTTGGGGCGCCTCCTGGGAGGAAGGCTCTTGTTTTGAATTGAAGGGTCGACGTGCATACGGCATACATGATTGAGATGATTTTGTGGATATTTAAGATACCAGCTAGATATACGTAGATGTGTTTTTGTTTGGGGGCAGTACAGTATGACTTGGATATATTCCTACATTCTCAACCAGTACTTCTCTTCAGCACGGATGATACAAATGTGCCAAAAATAGATCAATCCTGCGGTGAGTTTCATAGATATTAAGCTTCACTTAGTGGCATACGCTAGCCACGCTAAAAAGTTGTTGGGAAGACATATCAAAGATTGCAAGAACAGCCTGGATACCTAGATGTACAATAATCAGAATTAAAGCCCCTATAAAGAATATAGTAAGACAATATAGCAACAAATCCGTGATTCATTCGTATGAGAAGGTGAGAGCGCTAAATAAGAAAAAGAAAAGAGATACAGACGGGCTCCAAACTATGTGGACCAGGTGGCACCATGGTACCAAAACGAAAACAGGAAGAGAACCCCAAACGCTATGCGAAGAGAGAAAATAAGAGCACGAACTCAGAGCATATATGGCAAAGCACAAGGCCGGGCCAATCATGAAGACAACAGAATGCGAAATCCCCTGATCCTACCTCGTCCTGACCCTGCCCTGTCTTCCCCATTGCTATGATACGCCAAAGTGAGCATAATAATACGGAAACCGCCGGAAGGGTTGGTAGAGGTACACAAAATCGAAGGAGCCACGACTGAAAAGGATAAAGGGTAATGTATGAAAACGACGGGCGAAAAAAAGGGGGCAAGAGTGTACATGTTCTAGGAACAGGCCGAACCGACAAAAAGCATGGGTATTTCCGTGCGCCGCTAAAGACTTGGAAAGCGGAAGTGCAAGTGCAAGTGCGGCGCGAAAACGAATATCAGAAAAGAGAAACGAGTGAAGACGCCCTAGCCAGATGTTTCACCACATATCATCGTCATCATCGTCATCGAGTTGGACGTCGTCGCCAAAGGACGAGTGTCCGTACTGGTACCCCGGGCCGTAAGCGCTGCCATTTTCGTAGCCTTGCTTGCTGCCTCTCGAATGGGCGCCATAGCGATCGTGCGGATCGTCGTCATAGTCGTACATTGAAGAATCGTCGTAAGCACTTTCTGCGTAGTGTTGCTGCTCCTGGGACTGGGATAGATGTTAGTGAGATAGATCTTCATTGGGACGGGTACAGGCACTCACCTCTTGGTATCGCTGATATTGCGTGTACTCATCTGGCTGGTCCCTAGATTTGGATGACCTCTGGGATCCCGATGAAGAATGCCCGGTCTGTGGGTGCATCTGTTGCACTTTGGCCAGGTATGAGTACATGAAGTTGCTCAGCAGTACTTGAGAGTAGAGCGCTCGCCGGGGGTTTGCAAGTTTGATATGTGCCATGCGGTAGATTGCTCGCTCTTCCAGGATGGAGAACCGAGTCCAAGGGTAGTCGAGGTCGGGACGCATAACCTGCATCGGAGGATCCGGGGACAGGTTTCGAGATGAATGTTTGCGATGATGGCCTTCTCCACCATGCTTCTTTCGTCCACCACCAAATATAGAAGAGAAAATGCCATCCTTTTCTTTCTTTGAATCGCCCGATGCCCTTCTGACACCGTCCTTGCGCCGTTCTTCTTCCAGCTTCGGATCCAGGCGGTCCAATACGAGACTTTCACGGGCACGCGGAGTGTTGTCGATGGACGATTGGAGTACATCCAGGCGTGTGTTATCATGGGCTTTGTCGACTTTTGATTTAGTGCTTTTCGACTCGCTCTCCTTGTGCTTCTTCTTGTCTTTGTCCTTCTCTTCGCTGCCCAGCAACCAGTGCCAACTTGACTTGCGACTTCCATCGGAATCCTTCTTGTCCTTTGACTTTTTCCCTTCAGATTTGCGTTCGTCATGTTTGCGTTCTTCGGGAATTGTAGGGATGAATGAGAGACTATCAGTGCGAGTACTGTTGCCGGGTATCATCTGAGGGTTATTGGCGAAATCATTGAGTGAAGACGTGCTTTCAGGGGATTGGCGGGAGTTCTTGGAGCGTTTGCTTGGTGCCGCGTCATGCAGCGACGTTTTTGGTGGCGGCGTTGATGTTGGAGTCCGATCCGCTGAACGTTGCGAAGGAGGACTGGGAATGCGGTTGGTCTCTGGGGCAGGCGGGGTTTCAACAATCGCAGGGATCTGTTGATCGCCCGGAGGTGTAACCAAGGTAGATCGTCCATTCGAGCTGATACGAGAATGCCATTGCCGTGATCCGTCAGGTCGATCAGAGGCAAAATCCGAATGTCCACCTGCGTACGAGTCTCCCCTCTCGGCTCCAGGCTGATCGACGATCGGGTCGAATGTTGAGCCGGAACCTGCGCCTGAAGTGTACGCTGTACCATGGGACGAAGTAGACTGGGATCGAGTTGTTCGGTTCGTGTTGGGCATAGGATCAGGCGACATGCGAGTCTTGCCGGAAATCGGAAGTATTTCTGCATCACTCCCTGCAGATTCAGAAGCCCCTCGTCCGACTCGCTTGGAATATGGTAACTTCTCGCCCTTTTTCAAACTCCCCGCCTTTTTATATTGTGTCCTCGTCGACCGGCGCAAACTATTGCCTAGAGGTGCCGGTGGTAAGATCGGCCTATCTTCGATGCTCAAATCCTGCATGCCGCGCAAGAGTGTCGATTCTTTGTCCGCTGGTTTCGAATCGTCCACCAAGGTTTCAAGCTGCTGCAAGTTTGGACTCAACATGCCATCCCGCTTATTCGATTGTGAGCGCTGATGCTCTAGCCGATCTGCGCCATCCGTGTATCCTGAAGAATTGTCGATTTGCCTTGATAGCATAGAACGCTTGCGGTGAAGTCCAGCCCCCGACCCTTGACGCTCAGTGCCACCGGAGTAATCGCCAGACCTGCGCTTAATGTGATCAGCCTTGCTATCGAGAAAAGACTTGAATTCCTTCGGGGCGAGTTCGGGGTGTAGTCGCGCAGGCACCCAAAATAATCTCGAGGCGTCATCTTCGTCGGCTGAGGGGGAGGGAGGCAGTGCGAAGCCCGGGAGGTCAGGGTCACCAGCGGCCGCCACATCCATGGACATGCGCCGAATAGCAGCGAGGTTGTTCAGTTCCTGAGCCACGGCAGCGGGGTCGGATTCATAGTCGATGTCGTTCAGAGGAAAAGAAGAGGTAGCGGTTTCTGAGGGAGACCGAGTCCCCTCGGGAACTACAGAATCGGTCTCCCGGTCGTAAGCTCGGTTTGCAACGAGCGACGGCCGTGTATGTCCATTTGGCGGTTTCGTTTGCCCTTCCGAGAAAGAATTATGCAGGGGGGAGGACGGGGAGGGGTTGGACTCGGATCCTGCGGCGGCCCGCGGGATGGTTGTTATTGACTCGCCCAGCGGGGAGGATATATAGCTGAGGCGTCTTGGATCGTTGGGGTCGTAGTGATCATCATACATATGCCCGATCGCTTCTGTCACATGGTGACTCGGGTCGCTAATCGAGAGATGGGGGGCATGACCTCGCCGCGTCGCGTGTCCTCCGCCAGCCTCATGGGCACTCGTGGAGGCCTAACCAGAAGACAAAGAGGGTTAGTATTTGTGACGCGCTATTTGCCAACCGTGATCTCGTTCAATGGGGGACACCGGACACCTCAATGCCCAAAAAAAGTGGTGCCTGAGGGGCTCAAAAAGTTGACAGGACCCTCCCAACCACACCCCCAGGCACACGGACAGACACTGGGAGGACGAAAGAAAGAAGAGAACGCACCTGCATGGGAACCAGTTGTACAGGGACCGAAAACAACCCGAAAGACCCTGAAGTCCAAAGGGTGAGGAAGTCAATGAACGGGGTAAAGACGAATGGTCATCGAAGCGGGGAAAGAGAGAAGAACCCAGAGACTAGACATTCGGATGTCGAGTCCGAGTCATTTGTGGGAGAGAAAGGAAAGAAGAATGAGGGTTATGGGGTTGCGGGCGGAGAAGAGTTGCTGACTTGCAGGCGCAGCACCTGACATCTACAGAATAGCTATCTTTGATCTCACTGGAAAAATGTGTTAAAAGTAAACAGTATCTGTTCGGTTCAGTTTAGTTCAGTTCATGAAATTGGCTTCTTACATGTAACTTACTTGTCTCCACTTAAAACGGGAAATGGTCCATGGACGATCAGTCCGATCTACACGTTCTGGTCTTTGGCCCTAGTAGTACATTTTTCAGTTCGGATTCGAACTCGGACTTGAGGGAGTAAGGACTGTCTTTCAGAGCTGATATATTTCTCCAGTGGTACCGCATCCATGCAACTCGAAGCTGAGGTCTCCCTCGTACCAATGTACATACGCCTTCATTGAGGCCCAAACACCATACATTATACACTCTTAAGGTACTACAACAAAATGGCAAACCTGCCATAGGAAATCCATTGCATCCAAAGATACCTCCTGGTAGTCCCCAAAGGCTTTGTACTAGGCAAATTCTTCCCCTACGGTCCCGTGTTTTGAACATGAAACCCCGTGTTACTCCACCTCTTCTGTTCAAGGAAGACAGTGGCTGGTCTGCACCTCACAGCTGTGCAAGTATTGACACAATATGTGACCCGAGTACACACAGGCTAGAGCCCAGACGACCTAGACGAGCTGCGAGGCACAGGGATATAGGTGAGCCCCGTGCTGGGACTGTACGATTGAACTCAAAATGTGAGGCAAGCCACCTGAGAAAGCTGAACGGTGCACCCTAGAGAAGATCCGAAAAGAAAGGGAAAAGAAAGGCAAGAAACGAACTCTAGAAGTAGATTGCAACCAGAGGGGAGAATACTCTGCATAAACCTAAAAGACCACAACAAATGGCAGTAACCTCCAAGTCCCTCGATGAGGAACTAACAATGAGAACGAAAACTCCGCGCTGAAGGATGTAACTGGTAACGATTTGACGTAGAGAAAAAGTTGGCGGATCCACTTCCGCCTGGATATATTGAGGGCATTTGAGGCATCTATGTCCATGAAGCCTAAAATGAAAGTGCGTCGAGATTTCATAGTTTGTGCTGCATGGACCAGCATGGGATAGTCACAAACTTACGAGGCATCAACATAGTTGCTGCGGTTCAGATTAGCAAATGTCAAGCATAGAAAAACCCCGAAAATGCAAGATGTGCTTACCTGGGGAAGATGCCCACGCGGTCACCGATGCGACCAGTCCACCAGTCTTCTGCCTTTTCCGTCCGCTTCAGAATTGTAATGATCTCGCCCTTCTTGAAACCAAGGTCACCCTCTTGATCCGCATCGAATGTAAAGAGAGCAACAGCCTGGTCCTGTCGCAGCTGAGCCGCACTCGTCTTTTGCCCGAAGACCGGCTTAGGGGCGGTAGGACGCGTAGGTCGGCGATCTGAATAAACATAGTCCTCCTCAAATGGCGCGGTATTGCTCCGGTTGCGCCCATAGCCGTCGTATGAGTCGCTGGGAGGTTCCCGGCCTGTCGCGGAACGGCCAAGACCCCCGGCAGGCCGATCGTAAACATCATCTGCCCAGGTGTTCGCACGGCGCGGCTGGTCACGGTAGTCGTAGTCGTCGCCAGTGGTGTTGGATCGGCCCCGCCGGCTACCCTGGCCATATGCCTCGCCCCTTCGTCCCTCCCAGACGACATCATCGTGGCTCTCGTCATATACGGGCATGTCATTGTACATAGAATCACCATATGCTCTAGCGTTTCCTTGGAAGGCACGGGAGTTCAGCACGCGCATAAGGGCATCGGCGGCCGGCGGTGGGCGAACGCTACCAGTAAGAAGCTGGTTCGCAGAGACGCGACTGCGATACAGCTTCTCGTTGGCATCCTTGCGCTCCACGAGCATACTACCCTCCAGACTGACACCGGCGAAGAGACCCTTGGTTTTCGAGTAAGAGAACACAGCCGCGACGCCCTTTGTGCTGGCAGCTCCAGCAGCCTCGGCATTTCGACCGACCGGTCCTGCGGCGAGGGAGACGTTACCACCCAGCGTTAGCGTACCGACCTGGGAGAATGTGCGGACGGCAGCGGCATCATTCAAGATGAACACAAAGTCGGTCAATTCGAACCCAATCTGACCTCCAATTCCGGCACCTGCAGTCGCGATAGCCGACGGGGCCGACCAAGAACCATCGCCAAGACGAGCGACAACAATACCGGATCCAAATCGACCTGAGCCGAGGAATCCGGCTTTCAGAACTGTGAGGACCGCAAGACCCTAGCAAAAAGGACGTTAGCCCACCTCACCCGAGTATTGCGAGATTCTTACCTTTGCACCGGCCAGAATCTCTGGCGGAATGACTTTGTCGGGACCGAAGGCTTGCCTGGGATCAACGAATGAGGTCAAGATCTTTGCAGCCTTCTTGCACTCGCCTGTTCAGATGGGGGTCATTGTCAGCCGGATATTCCGCACACGACTGCGGGGAAAGTGGGTTGATAGATCGACACGTACTGTTCATAGACGAGGGCAGCGGATTGTTGATCCCGAGAGGCATATTTGCGGTATATGTCGAGGTAAAACGGTCAACTCGACTGAAAGAGGAGTGAGGTTGGGGAATGAGGAGAGCCCAGGTGTTGATCAGGTTCCCGTTAGTCAGGTCAGTGTGGGCCTAATGACGGCTGACGCGGGACGGTAGTTCGTCGGAGGCTCAAGAGTATCTGTAGCTCGCAGGACTCCTTCCTTGATCAGCGAGTAGTCAATCCCAAGGTTATCTGGTAGAAATCAATCAGTTGAGAGCTTCCGTAACAGTTAAAGGGCAAATTGGGGATCTGGAGGTCGGGTTCGTTCCCCCGCTTGAAGGAGGCGGAGCAAGAGTGCTTACCTTGGCAATTTCAACAAGTATTACCGAGAATCTACCAGAATATCGAAGAGAATTCGAATGGAAGTGTATAATGTTCTTCTAAGTAAAGTATAAAATTGCAACTGCTCCGATGTATATATTCATGCACGTGCATTGCTGCCCCAGGCCGCCAAGACCTTCCCCGTTCCCGTGTTATCATATCTCCCAAACGTCACGTCCAAGGCTCATATAGAGGCCATGTGCGGAGTATAATACCTTCACTCGCTTAGCTGCGCAAATGGCAACAGGTACGTCTGGCATTCTGCTGATTCTCCGAAACGCGACTGACCGTGTATCCAGTTCGGATCTGCGTCTGCGGCGACGAGGGCACTGGCAAGTCCAGTCTCATAACCTCGCTTGTCAAAGGTGTATTCGTGACAAATAAAATCCAACCGGTCCTTCCTCAGATAACCATCCCTCCCACCATCGGAACCCCTGAAAATGTCACCACAACGACCGTCGTCGATACCTCGGCTCTCCCCCAAGAACGGAACAACCTCGCGCGCGAGATCCGGAAATCCAACGTGATCCTGCTGGTGTATTCGGATCACTATAGCTATGAGCGCGTGGCGTTGTTCTGGCTGCCATATTTTCGCTCGTTGGGCGTCAATGTTCCGGTCGTGTTGTGTGCCAACAAGTCTGATCTTGCGGCGAGTCACAGCGAGGCGCAAGTGGTTGAGGAAGAGATGTTACCTTTGATGGCGGAGTTTAAGGAGATTGACTCGTGTATTCGCACTAGTTCTCGGGAGCATCGCAATGTCAATGAGGCTTTCTTCGTCTGCCAAAAGGCTGTAACACATCCAATCGCGCCGCTGTTCGATTCCAAGGAGGCCGCTTTGAAGCCCGCAGCGGTAGCAGCTCTACAACGGATTTTCTATTTGTGCGACAAGGATCGGGATGGATATCTGTCCGACAAGGAGATCAAGGACTTCCAGACCAGGTGTTTTGGGAAACCACTGAGCGAGGAGGATCTCATTCACATCAAGGATACCATCCAGAAAAGCTACCCAGAATCGGTCACCGAGTCTGGGATTGATTGTCAGGGTTTCATTCACTTGAACAAACTATACGCGGAGAAAGGGCGACACGAGACTGTCTGGATTATTCTACGAGCGTTCCAGTACACGGACAACCTCTCGCTCCAAGAGAGCTTCTTACATCCTCGGTTCGAGGTCCCTCCATTTGCCTCCGCAGAACTGTCCCCCGAAGGATATCGATTCTTCGTCAACCTTTTCCTCCTATCCGACAAGGACAATGATGGAGGTTTAAACGATGCCGAGCTTGCATCATTGTTTGCGCCTACCCCCGGTCTGCCCGCATCCTGGGCTGACGGCTCATTCCCTTCTTCCACAGTTCGCAATGAGGCAGGACATGTGACACTGCAAGGCTGGCTGGCCCAGTGGAGCATGACGACTTTCATGTCTCCCAAAACGACACTTGAGTACTTAGCCTACCTCGGCTTTGAGCCCTCCGACCGAAGCAATCCATCTATCACAGCAGCGCTCAAAGTAACAAGGCCACGCAAGAGGCGTAGACGCCCGGGCCGTGTCGGTCGAAATGTGGTGCAATGCCATGTTTTGGGAGCGCCTGGGTCGGGAAAGTCCGCTCTACTTGATGCACTCCTTTCTCGCGGGTTCAGCACAACCTACCACCCAACCATTCAACCCCGTACCGCCGTCAACACAGTGGAACTCCCTGGCGGAAAACAGTGTTATTTGATCCTGGACGAGTTAGGCGAGTTGGAGCCTGCTCTCTTGGAAAACCGATCCAAGCTGCTAGATCAGTGTGATGTCATTGCCTACACCTATGATTCCTCCGATCCGGACTCCTTTGCATATATCCCGGCTTTGTGGGCGAAGTACCCGCATCTGGAGGAGTTACCCAGTGTGTTTATTGCTCTCAAGGCCGACTTGGATCGGACTACCCAGCGGGCCGAGTACCAACCCCACGAGTACACAGCCATGCTGAACATGCCCAGTCCGCCTCTCCATGTGAGTGTGACGTGGAGTTCTATTCAAGAGGTGTTTGTCCACATCGCCGAAGCAGCGATGGAGCCTAGCACCGCATTCCCCCGCAGCGAAGAGGATGTTGAGGGTAAATGGATGTCATGGGGTATCGCCCTTGGAGCGGTGGTTTGCGCAGGCGCCGCCGCGGTGATGATTTGGCGACGAGTCAGTGGTAGCAATTAGCAACATTGGAAACAGAGCTCCGGGGTTTAATACCATATACATATAGCTTTTATACCGTAGTGCCCCAGTTGACCGGGATTCCCAACATAGTAAGGCGTCGAGGCGGTTGGTCCGGAGTTAAGCCGGGGCCCAGGCACGCGGTTTCTTCTCCGCTCCTACCCCGGACATCATCTCCTCGCTGATCCCTGCGCGCCCCCTCTTCGCCATCCTCACTCGAATCCTCGAACTCTCGAACACCTAATAACTCGATCTGTTGATATACCTTGTCTCTTGCATATTATCTATACATACCAGTGGCTCTGTGCCCCGGCTGACGCTCCTCGTCCGTGCCTTTTGCTGGAGCCTCATAGCCACTCATTCACGACACGAGCACAGCAAAGTACCATTGACAAGGTGGTAGCAAGATATAGCCTAATAGCTGCAGTATTGACAGCTTAGCGAAGGTCGACAATATACCTTGTCGGATCCAAGGTTCAGTTAGTTGTTAGGTCACACAGATCTTAGTCTGCATTGAAAGCTTGTGACCATGTTGTAAGTTTGGCCCTTTCTTACATCTCTCCTGATTTCTCTTCTAGCGCTACTTGCGCTATCGGGAAATCGGCAAGCCGCGACATACGGCCCATACTGGCGTGATCTGAGAGGATCGCACGGCACCTCTCGCATATTTCTTCTCTTGCTGACACCACTAGTGTCCTTCCACCCCCTCCTCCTCGCTATACGATCCCTGTCGCTTATGCGGCGGGGGCGGCGAACGGTATGGCAGTTCCTGTGGTTGAAACGAACAACACTATCACCCACCCGGAGAAGGGATGTCCGTTACAAGTTGGTGAGGGTACGTATGCCCAGACACTGGTCGCAGATATCTCCCGCGGATATTGCGGTTCTTCTGGACACGAAGAGATGGCTTACCTGTGATATCGCATTAGGAACGTACACCCTTCAAGATGACCTCCTGCTCGCGACCCCGCCTCCGCACCCCTCCGAAGCCCCAATTGTGAACCCAAACCCTCTCGCGACAGTGCCTTTGCCGCCTACATGCGGCGTGAAGTTGTCTCTCGTCAGCCTCGACCCCCGAAAGAAGCCTCCGACCTTTTTGAAATCGGCCGTCACGGCCCCTCAGTTCGGAGACGGGAACTCGGCACTTGCAGCACCACCCGTACCGGCGAAAGACGCACTCAAGAGGAGGAAGCCCAAGAATAATATTATCAAGAGCAGCTCCTCGTTTGTTTCAAGAGTGATCACCCACGAGACCTCGGCCAAGCGACTGAGTGACCGCGACCCGAACGGTGTTTTTGCCTTTGCGAATATCAACCGAGCATTCCAATGGCTGGACCTCAGCTCGCCCACCAAGGAGGAGCATCTCACAAAGGTCCTTTTCACCAAGTCTCATATGCTCTGCCACGATATCAACGAACTGACCAAGACATCGTCTCACTTGGATATTGTGATGGGATCTTCAGCCGGTGACATCATCTGGTATGAGCCCATGTCGCAAAAGTACGCTCGAATCAATAAGAATGGTGTGATCAACAATTCACCTGTTACTCATATCAAATGGCTTCCTGGATCCGAAAACCTCTTCATTGCATCTCACGCTAATGGTGTGCTGGTCGTTTACGACAAGGAGAAGGAAGATGCCCTGTTCACCCCCGAGCAGAGCAGTTCCTCTGACAAGGAAAAGGGAAAGTTGCCGTTGGAAATTTTGAAGTCCGTCAATTCCAAGAACCAGAAGAGCAACCCTCTGTCATTCTGGAAGTTGGCCAATCAGAAGATCTCAAGCTTTTCTTTCTCGCCAGATCAAAGGCATTTGGCCGTTGTCCTTGAGGATGGGTCTCTCCGTCTAATGGATTACTTGAAGGAGGAGTAAGTCGATTGTTAATTTAACGAGATTGAAGTCCAGACTGACGCTTTAAAGGGTACTGGATATCTTCCGCAGCTACTACGGCGGCCTGATCTGTGTCTGCTGGTCGCCCGATGGCAAATACATCGTGACAGGCGGTCAGGATGATCTCTTGACGATCTGGTCTTTCCCAGAACGCAAGATTGTCGCTAGATGTCAAGGCCACAACTCCTGGGTGTCAGCGGTAGCATTCGACCCATGGCGCTGCGACCAGAAGACATACCGCTTCGGCAGTGTGGGTGATGACTGTCGTCTGCTTTTGTGGGATTTCAGCGTTGGCATGTTGCATCGTCCCAGAGCTGTAAGCTTGATTTTAGCCCCCCCACACACACACTTTCTGCACGTTTCTAACATATGACAATAGCACCACCAAGCGTCGACTCGAAAGCGAACCAGCATTGTAGCGCCGGGCACACAGACTTCCAACCGGCATCGGGCAGACAGCGCCGGTAACCGTGTACGCTCTGACTCTAATGGAACAGAACATCTCAATGGAGAAATCGACCAGACGGCCAGTCACCCGGTTGAACCACGGTCACGAACCGCTCTCTTGCCTCCGATCATGGTCAGTGATAATGAACAGGCTTCTTATCTACATTACTGACCGATTCATAGTCGAAAATCGTTGGTGAAGACCCTATCTGCTGGCTCGGTTTCCAGAAAGATTGTATCATGACTTCCTCTCTTGAAGGTATTATCCCATTATATGAACAGCGCCAACAAACCACCAGATTGACTAACGATGTTTCTAGGCCACATCCGCACCTGGCACCGACCAAGCGACAGCGTCGTCAAATCATGATGTTGGTGTCCTCTGGATTTCAAGCGTTCTATCGTCGGATACCCAATTGCTCCATTGCTAATGACCTTGGACATGATTCGTTTCTCTATGTACAAATGAAATTTCCAAATCACCAAGGCCCATCATGCACCTTAGATACCAACGTATCCAGGCATACTCGTAAATTATTTCACAGCTTCGAGCTCGCAAGACTCTCGACATCAAACTCGGTAGTGCAAAGCAAGAATGTATCCCGCAGCGCCTATTTACAAATCAGCATAAAATCAAACCAGGCGACGGAAAACAATGAAAAGACAAAACTCACCGACAACCGATGTTCCTCATTAATGCTCTGATAATCGTCACCAGCAAGCATATCACAAAAGTGCCGAATAGAGGGATAATGCACAATAGAAATCTCATTCCACCACTCCTCCCCAGGACGCGCATTGGGTCCCCTAGAATCCCCAGCACCCTCAGCAGGTCTAACCACATTCCCGACAATCTTCGCATCACCACCACGCTTGCCGGCAACAGGGATAAACGCCTGCCCATAGTTAAAATAACTCTTCTTACCGTCGGGATGGTTAAAATGGAGGAGATTCAACATTGTCACAGGGCCGGTATGCGTTTTGCATAATTCATCCATGAATTGTATGAGTGTGGGTGATAGTTCCAGGTTCTGGGATGTGGATTTTGAATCTGAGGCTAGGGCTTTGGAGAGGGAGCCTGTTAAGGGTGGTTGGGGTTTTGATTTGAGGGCTTTATCTTTGGACGAGTAGGTTGAGAGGAGTTTTGAGGGGATTCCGGCAGTTATTTTGTATTCGGATTTTATGGTTGCGTGAAACGATGCTGGGATTGGGTTTTTGTTGGCGGTGCTTCGGTTTGTCGCTTGTAAGAGGAGGAGGAGATCCCATTTTTCGGTTGTCAGGGGGCTTTTGTCTAGGATAGTTGGGTGGATTACTGTCTGTCGGGGTCGGGATGCGACTATTATCTTTGTTTCTGGGGATTTGGATAGTTGGGCGATGAAGGATTCGGGGGTTGTTGGTGGGGTTAGGGTGAGGAGGTGGAGGGTGAGGGCTGGCATGGTCGATGGTGTGGAATAAGTTTTGGGATTCGCGAATTGGCAATGGTACTTGGTGAAGTTGAGTTATTGTGTTGGGGTGGGCAGTTTTATAAGAGATGATTTCATGCGGAGAAAGCTATTAGCCGAGGTACAACCTTAAGCCAACGTACTCGGTATACTCAGTGCAATCCAAAGCAGAACATTAATTGCATTTCTCATTAATATAGGGAGTCGTAGGCCCATAGGCCAAATCATTCGAAAAAGCATAAACCAATCTTCCTTATTTCTCTCAAGCGTCGCATAAACATCCGAACGGTTCTCAACCCATATATTTCGTTTCACCCGACATAGCCAGTAACGCTCCTCGGCATAATGAATGACCGATGATGGTATTAGAGGGCCAGAGCAAATAGACCCAGAAGGAGACCGCCAGCCTGGGCAGAAGGCATAAGGATAGCTGCGGCGTTTGAGGTAGTTGTAGCCGACTCACTCGCAGTCGAGGTTCTGGTCGAGGTGGTGTGGTGGGTAGTAGTCGAGGTGGATGTATGAGTCTTGGACATAGTAGTCCTCGAAGTCATGGTTGAGCTCGACTCTATGAAGATAGTCAGTCTCTGGTTATCAATGTATCGGTGGAAGTGAAGTGGTGTTTTGACAACTAAAGCTGCCTGCATTACTAACCACGGGTAGTGCTTGAGCGGGCATTGGATGTGGAGGATGGGGTGGAATGAGATGAAGTAGAAGAGATTGTGTTCGAAATAGAGGTCGAGGAAGAATGAGATGTAGAGATTGATGATGTGGAAGATAGCTTGGTAGAAGAAATGGAGGACGTTGTTGTAGGTGTAAATGTAGACATGGATGAGCTGGTAGAAGAAGTTGTAGGTGTAGATGTTGAAGAAGAGGCTGGCGAAGACGTGAAAGCGGTAAGCATTTTGGTAAGAGACAATGTTGTTGTGGAAAATGTTGTAAGGGAAGAACTTGAAAGTGATTGGGAAATATAGGCGGAAAATATGGGGTAAACCGATGATGAGGTTTCGGTAATTAAAGAGGAGGACGAGGTAGAAATTGGAATTGAAGTTGTAGGAGGTAAAATAGATGTTGTGGTAATGGTATCAAAAGAAGAGGTAGAGAACGATTTTGACACAGATAAGGAAGAGGTCAACCCACTTGGAGTAGAGCTCATTATAGAAGAAGAGATTGTAGGGGTAGAAACAGAAGTAGAAGATATATGGGACGAGGTAGGGGTAGACGCACTGGTGGGAGAGTAAGTAGTCGAAGAAATAGAAGAAGCAGTCGAGGAAGAAGCAGAAGTCGAATAGGTAATCTCACTTGTCGACGCTGTGGAAGAAAGCATGGAGGTCGACCCAGACGAAGTTTCACTCGCAGTGCTAGTTTCCTTACCAGAGCTAGAGCTAGAGAGAGCACCAGGTGCAGTCACTCCGAATTGCTGGGACTGAGCCAGAATTCCGTTGCTGTTGGAAAGGAAGTTGATCTGATACCCCTTTCTATTTATACAATCAGTAACTAGTTCATAAGAATGCACTTAGTTGACTTGCCCAACGTCCACGTCAGTAAAGGACTTGGCTTTGACCGTGTACGACCCCTTCGACGAGTCGACATCTTCTGCCACGATCTCTGTTGTCGAGGGATAGACATTTTGATTGACCAGCTCGATGGTGAAGGTATCAGGATCGGTCCTGATCACATTTTATCCTCGATTAGTCGCGGCTCTTATAAGGGCCCAAATTTTATGCACGAAAAGAACATCTTACTGGACGGATTGCCATTTGATAGTAAGGGGGCGGTCGGGGTCAATCTTCTCTCCAATTCGAGGCGAGGTAACTACGAGACCTGTGAAGGGTTATTAGAGTCATCGATACTTCCAGACGAAGTGACCATACCTGCAGCCGTAGTAGCAAGAACCACCAAAGACACAACGTTAACACGCATAGCGATTGATTTGACTGGTAACCAGTACAAAGGAGAGCAAAACAAGGGAGTAGACTTCAATTCGCAGGGGCCGGCTCAGGATAAACTACCGCGAGGTTGGAGGGGAGTAGAAGTCAGGGGTGGACTAAAAACGGAAGCATGGTATTTTATAGCATCTATGACAGTGGCCACAAGCTGTAATCTTCCCAGGGTCTTCCTCATCTCCATTACGAATCTTTATTTTGGGCTGATTCCCGTGGTGCCTTGGTCCATTGTGCTTCGTGCTCCCAGGTCTCTCGGGGTACAAAATAACCAGGCGAGGACTGCATGTTTTAGTTCCCGTGATGTTTCTTTGCTACTATCCTGAGGCAAAATAAGTCCAAAGAGATGACTGTCAATGCTGTAGCTTGAAAGTTCTATTTTGGACTGGGCTGGAATTTGTTGTCGGCGATTTCATGACGTACAACGTCTTTGATGTCAACTGGCCGCGCGTCATAATTCCTGTCCGTATCAAAATGAAAGATACCATCACGCATGAAAAGTCCTCCTGCTCGACAGATTGGCCATTATTGGCTAGGGCACGGGACCACTAGGATCACTGCTGCAGTCCATTTAGCATTGCTGATTGCAAGGGATATATCAGAAGATCAAGATTGTCGATCTCTGGGTTGCTGCTGATACATTGGACGATAGCATCGCTAGCAGAAGCCCATCGATTTTACATGTATATCAGCATTTGTATATACATTAAGCTCGATTATAAAGTTTATTTAGGGACCCACATGTCAAAATTGAATGTCGCTCAAACAAGCCATCAAGATCACCACATATATTTCCTCGCTCCTTTGTCAAGAAGTGTGAATGTGTGACAGTATTGTCCGAAAGGCCCAAGCACACCGGAAACATTGGATTGCCTAGGTAGGACAAAGCCAAGGAAAACATCCCAGTCTCAACCCGAACTTATAGACATCGCAACACCAGAATAACACCATCACATAGCGCATCTTAGCTTTTAGATAGATGCTTCCCACTATAGACGTAATTTCCTTCTTCAAGGAAGTTATAAGGTTTCAAAATAGTTGCCTAGAGCGGTATGGAGATATACCTGTAAAGTTACACACAGTGAGAACCCAACTTCGGAAGTTGACTCATTGGATGAGATAAAAATAATCTAGCTAGTGTCTAGGTTTTCTCATGGGACAGATCCTTGTCTTGATTCCCATAGCATAAGGTCCCCGCTCGGCCTTGAGCATGTAATTGTGTTCTCCGATGCTTCCATTACCGTCAGACCAAGCTACCTTTGGCTTCCTGTTTTGTTCTGTTCAAAGCATATATCTTTATAGTCGCTGTTGAATCCAGCTGCAATCAAGAGTTGTCGTCAGCATATATGATGAAGTCATTGGTTATCATGATAGTATAGAATTCTTTGAAAGAGAGAGAAGTGTATGCTATATGTAAGGTCTGAATATTTATCACATTAGCTTATATCATCAAATTGGATTCGCTTTTGCCTCTTCTTTCCTGCTTCTTCTTTTACTCTAGGGTAAGCGCCCCTATTGTGATACATGTTTTCTCCTCTCTTCAACCTTCTTCATCAAGCTCTCATCATCATACTCTCTCCACCATCCTCCTCTCGTCATCTTCTTTCTCTCTCCAGCCTCGTTCTCTCGCCATGTTTCTCTCTCAATGTCAGCTATGGGATTCCCGGTACTGATTATTCGCAGGCGTGTGATACGGTCACAGACAAAGTACACAATTATTTGCATCCGCGACAAGACTGGCCATGGACCGGGTTTGAGTCGAGCATATCATTATCTGCAAATCTAGAAGTATTTTGAAGATACGAATGAGTTTATCCGTACATGGTCACGCCGCGAAGGGCTCCCTTTCAAAGATGACGAATATCGGCAACCTGAACCCGACGAGACTCTCAGAGCATTCAAGGCCGGATTTCCGAGATGACCGCCCTCTAAATATATAGCAGTCCATCAATCTATATATCACCCACTGGGCGATTCAGGATGCTCCTGCAGCGCTATGACACAAAAATGTATGCCGAACCCAGCTTCAGACGATTATCAATGACTCGTCAAACATAGGCTGGTTACGCGAAACAGTCAAAGGGTACATCCTACGATCCCGGGACAAGCTCATCGTTTGCACTTCTAAAGAAGTCTTCTCCGTTTGCAGTAGTCGAAGAAGCCGCCACTGTGGTCACCTCTCTCTGCCTTGATGAGTATATTGCGAGGGCCGACGGCAGATACTTTTGGACCTAGGTCAGATTCGGTTTTATTGATGGATACTGACCTAGCATACCTTTGGGAGCAAATAAATAGCCATTTAACTTGAGACTACAACATGTCACATGGGAGTAATCCCAAGGTACAATAAGTCTGTCTATGTTCATTCTTTAATACCATTAGTCGTCTCAGCCCCGGTGCTCATCTTTCTGAATTGCTTGTATATATAATGCCTTTGTTGTGTGCTTGTGGAGCCACCGTACCATATTTACTCCGCATGCACGTAGTATGCCATATTTCGGGATCCAAGCTACCTACTTGTTATGTGAAGAGAGTTCATAATCAACTTCCAAACGCCGCAGGGTTTCTCAAGCTCTACATGTGGGTCAACATGCGGCTGTGGCCCTTACCAATAGGACAACTCAACCAGCGACGCATAAAAAGCCTAAATGCCCACCCACGTGACCTTCTTTTCTTTTCTGAATTTCCATCCACGTGACCGTTTCGCACGTGACCCCACTATATTTTGGCTAAATATTCACGTGACAGCCACGGCTATCCGTATCTTATCGTGTTTATCGCGGGGTTCAAGCTTCATCTTCAAGCCATTTCTTCTTTCCCACGAATTCAACCTCCTGCCTGTTGCGCAGAGCCACTTTTCAGGATTCTGGCTTCCAACATGGCGGACCCCGATGAGTTGTCCCAGGTATGTTCCACGTGGAGACAATCATGCTCTCTGTCACATTCAGGTCTGACCTATCCTGTTTGTTTCGATAGGAGCTTCAAGGCATTTACTGCCCACCGATTGACCCAGCTCTGTTCATGGCAATCGTAATGGACTATGATTTAGCAATTCCTGCTGAGGTTCGACGACTTTGCGATACCTTGAACGAGCTGAAGACATCTGCCCTTGACCAAGAAAACCTGCCTTTCGATCCCACCGGCACAACCAATTCCCGTAACCTCCAGGACGCAAACCTTCCTGAAAGTTTAAGCTGGCCATCGCTTGAACATCTCGACTTGAACGCTGATGACGAGAACGACAACAATTGCGACAGTCGACACGATTCACGCCTGGGGTACACATTTCTGGGCACGACATCGGATGACAAAGTCCACAACTTGATGAGCATGTTCCCAAGTGTTCCTCGTCGCCAAGCCGAGGGTATCCTCGAAGAATGCCACGACAGTCTTAGCCGCGCAATGGAAGTTCTATTGAATCTTGCCTTCATCGATGAGACCCAAATTGCGCGAGGCTCCGCGCAAGAGACCCCCGCAGAAGCCGCCGCAATGAGTCAAGCTTTGGCCCCCAGGTCAATCGATGGATTCCAAGCAGATGAGGATCAGACCAAGAAATCGCGCAAGAAAAACAAGAAGAAGAACCAGCAACTACGGCGCGACGCAACGTCATCACAGAGTAGCAATGTCCCCGCGGCCAACAAATGGGAGACGGCGAAGCAAGATATTGATTTCATCTCCACGCGGGCCTCTGTCCTTCTGCGAGAGAATGTTGCATCCACATATCACGGCAATTCAATGTCGCTCTGCGCAACCATCAGAGCTTTGGCAATCGCGTACGCGCCTAGAGATATCGGGGAGCTCGAAGATGATGATGCTATTATCCCCCAAGTGGCCGAGCTCGCGCACAAATACACCACCATACCTGACACGACTCTCGTTGGCCTCATTCGCATTGCCAACAATGAGATCATGGCCGCAGATGAGCTGGCGGAAGCCTTAGCTCGGGGGCCTGTTCTGAACTCATTGTCAGACATAATTACCTTCACTTCGGCCCCCATCGTCCTCGATCCGGAGGAGATCACCTCAGCAGCCTCGGCCGAAGCGGCCATTGAAACTTTACCAGACATGGACTATAGCCAGGCAGCTGCCGCTGCCAATGCTCACTTCATGGCACGGTCAAGTGCCTTCGCGCAGGCGTCCCAGGCCGCGCGCCGCGCCCGATCCAACCCCCTCTACAACGGGGCTTCCGCATACTACCGAGAAGTCGGAAACGAGCAACGGCAGCTGGCCCTGCGCCACCTGGCTACCGCCTCTGACAGATTGGTGGACGGGCAGTCATCCCAGTATGATTTGGACCTCCACGGAGTGACCGTCCCCAATGCTATCAGAATCTCCCGGGAGCGTGTCAATGCGTGGTGGCACTCCCTGGGTGACTTGAAGCACGTCAGAGGTGGTGGGAAGCATGTACACGGTGGGTTTAAGATCGTGGTCGGTGTCGGAAACCACAGTCGCGATGGCGCTGCACGTATTGGACCCGCCGTGTATAGGACGTTGGAGAGTGAGGGGTGGAAGGTGGAGTGTGATCGTGGGGTGCTTCTGGTCACCGGGCACCGGCGTTGAGCCTTCTTTTGTTTCTTTCTTATATATACCCTGTATGGGCACTTTGAGAGTTCTCTCAGGTTTATGCGAGACGCATGCGCTTTTTGTTGTGTGTGTTTGGCCAGCCCTGAGTTACGCTTGTGTCAGGTTTGCTGTTGATGATACCCCTACACTTCACGGAGTTCGTATTAGACGGGAGCGATGGCGATTTAGAATAGACAATCTCTGTTTAGAAGACAACAGACAACCAAAGCGATTTCGCTACTCAATTTCTCCTAATTTACGCTCAATTGCCCTGTATTCCATCTATAAGTATAGGAGTATCCATACTGTAGACCTATTTACAATCTCCCCGCATGATGACGTAAAGGCCGAGGCGGGTTTAGCTTCATCCCCACTATCATTCCTCCATCGGCTCTCTGCTTATTTATTCCTCGCTGT